CTCCAAACACACCATAACTCTCCTTACGGGAAGATTTGGCCTGGAGATCAATGAGCATCCTTGCCATCTCTTCAATGACTGGCCGTCTGGCACGTTTGATTTTGATATCTACCTCCTCTGGGGATGCGTGCATACGCCTCTTGCATGACAACACCATCATTTCTTTCAATGATGTTGGAGTGAGTTTTGGAAATAATATTGGCCTATATCAGTGCCTTTTTTAATACTGCGCTTCTACGTGGGCTACGTGATTCATGATTTTGACGTCATTCATGATTTTGCCGTTTTTCAGCGCAGTGTCATCGCGCCCAAATCAAATTTATCTGTGCTGACATCTCTACTAGAACATCATATGAAAACTAGCCAATCAGCATGTAGACTAATTAAATAATGAGCTTCCAGCCAATGTGCTTGGATTTTTATGGAACCTTTTTCTTCAGCGTCCACGACTTCGAAAGGGTGGTTTTGCCGTTTTACGAACAAGAATTGCTCACAAACGAGTACAGTTTTTTGACTGGTACCAGGTACCTACCAAAAGCAAAGCAGTCTTTTCTTTCCCGAAAAAAGATCCAGTGTCCATCTCAAGACGACACGCTAAAGGTTTTTGTACCAGTTACATAGTATAAATGTCACTGTTAACCAGGAAGAGCTGGCAGCGCGGACCTCTCTGCTTTATCTTTTCAGAACTCAGCCATTGAAGTTTTGCAGAGCAGTGGTGCAGTTGTCAATTTTTAAATCATGGCATATGATCCACTCTCCATCCATTTTCCAGCGATGGTGACTCCGAGTTTGGGATTCGCTGAAGCCCATACGTCCAATTAATCATATTGAATGCAACAGACCTTCAGCGAGCTCAAAGGGATGCCGTCACGTGTACTTGCTTTACCATGAGATGTATGGTGGAACACAACAGTGGCTTGGATGAACACAATTGTTGAATATCGCACCTTTCGATGCAACGGAATATTAGAAATGAGCTGAAGGTCTTGCAAATGCAGCCACACCAACTAGAATGAATGCATTTCTTCCATTTTGACACATCCAAATCGAGAGTTATGCTGTGGATTGGGATGGACCGTTGGTGTTGAGAATATATGCGCCGACAAGCAACACTGACAATATAATGCTCGGAATCCGCGAGCCCCGCCGATGGACAAAGATTCTGATTGAAGGATGATGCACCCCAGAACATAGTACGGACTATAGTCACACAGGAAACATCCCATGCTGTCAAGTCTTTATTGAAAGACATCCTCCCACGCATTGCACACACATACCTATTATGCTTCTATCTGCTGCTGATGAGCGGTCCTATGCTCTACTGAGACAACGTCACTCAATTAGCTACATATTTTCTAAAACGCGCAATCAATTCTTACAACATGTCTTTTTAGAAGACGAATACAGAAGCCCCTTGTTCCAGCCTACCAGTACTTGTGTGTCGCTTGGAATTTGGAATCCAGGGACCGCCGAGTGATACACGTTGGTCAGAGTATCATAATACCTGTTGCCTATCATCATATTACTTGCACTTGTAACGGGAATGCTACCATGCCTAATGTATACTGTCCCTCTAGAGTGTTCGGTTATTCTAATATACAGTATTTGAACATTTTTTAAAAGGTGATTTCGCTTTTTTTAAATTAATCGCAGGCTTGACAGAAGAATGGACCGGGTGGATTCGCAGAGAGGTTTGGATCGGACTGTGATTGGCAGCTTGTGGCGCCAGAAAACGCAAAGCCAACGTCGGCATTGCTAGGAAGGCGCGAGCCCCATGCACAAAGATTTTGATTGAAGGATATTGCCTTGAAGAACACAAGTCTCATGTCAGTGACAGAAGAAACATTCCAGGATGACAAGTCTTGATTGAAGTTTGATGCACCGTCAAACATTTGCAGCATGTCAACCACAGAAGATACATCCCAAGATGACAAGTCTTGATTGAATGATGTAGCTCCAGTGAACATGTAACGCATGAGTGTGACAGAAGAAACATCCCAGGATGACAAGTCTTGATTGAATGATGATGCTTTGTAGAACATTCCGTTTAACTTCGTGGCCAAAGAAACATCCCAGGATGACAGGTCTTGATCGAAAGATGATGTAGTGTGGAACATGTTTGTCATGGAAGTCACAGAAGAAACATCCCAAGATGACAAATCTTGATTGAAGGACGCTGCGCCTTGGAACATGAAACTCATATCTGTCACAGAAGAAACGTCCCAGGATGACAAGTCTCCATTGAAGGATGTTGCGCCTTCAAACATCTTATTCATGAGTGTGACAGAAGAAACGTCCCAGGATGACAAGTCTTGATTGAATGATGGTACGTAGTAGAACATGTGATTCATTAGTGTGACAGAAGAAACATCCCATGATGACAAGTCCTGATTGAATGATGAGACTCTGTAGAACATTCCGTTCATCACTGTTACCGAGGAAACATCCCAGGATGACAAGTCTTGATTGAAGACATATGCCGCGAAGAACATCCGGCTCATATCTGTCACAGAAGAAACATCCCAGGATGACAAGTCTTTATTGAAGGATGATGCACTTTCAAACATTTGCCGCATGTTCGTTACTGAAGAAACATCCCAGGAGGATATGTCTTCGTTGAATGAGGATGCCCTCCAGAACATCCAACTCATATCTGTGACTGAAGAAACATCCCAGGATGACAAGTCTTGATTGAAAGATGATGCGTCCAGGAACATTGAAGGCATTTTTGTCACAGAAGAAACATCCCATGATGACAAATCTTGATTGAATGATGATGCACGGTGAAACATCCCAGTCATGTCAGTCACAGAAGAAACATCCCATGATGACAGGTCTTGATCGAAAGATTGTGCGTTGCGGAACATGACCGACATGAACTTTACAGAAGAAACAATCCATGATGACAAGTCTTGATTGAAGGATGCTGCGCCATCGAACATGTGACTCATTGTTGTTACCGAAGAAACATCCCAGGATGACAGATCTTGATTGAATGATGATGCAGAGTAGAACATGAAAGGCATATCAGTCACAGAAGAAACATTCCAGTTTCCAATGTCCTCATTGAAAGTGGTGCGACCACTGAATAGATTTCTCATACTGGTAACGCTGGCAGCAAAACACCAGTCTTTGATTGGTCCATATGTGCTTTCGACTGATGCCTTTAACTCAGAAGGCTGAAACCAGTTCCCAACTGCTTCAGAAAGCTCGCTGTTCGATTCGAAACAGTTCCATCGTGGAGGTAGAGCGGTTGGTACAGGAGTAGGTTGGGCAGTCGTGGGTTGAAGCGTGGGTGACAAAGTAGGCCCATGTGTCGGGTATATGCTTGGAGCATTGCTTGGGGCTTCGCTTGGGTCTTCACTAGGGGTTTCGGATGGCACTCGGGATGGGACAGAGGACGGGCTCCGCGAAGGATTGCGAGACATCGTCTGCGACGGCATTGGTGTTGACCTTGGAACCATGATGACAGGAGTCGAGGATGGCATTTGTGATGGAGCTTGTGACGGCAAAAGAGAGGGATGTGCAGTGGGAAAGAGTGTCGGCCCCACTGAAGCAGTCATATCGTTGCTGTTTGGGGGTGTCGCTAAATCAATGTATCCCAAATTTGTAACAATGATTCTTTCGTAGAGCCCAGCTAATTCAAGTTTTTCGGCAAGTACACCGTCTCCAAGAAAGGCACTGACTTCACCAATCACATCCACGACTTTCACCGAATCATCCTTTACCGCAATGTCAAGCGCCACATTGATTCGATGACACCGTAGATTGGAAGTATCGTCGCATTGTACCCCCTCGACTCCTGACGCATTGAGTGCCACATTTCCAATCGCATACACAAAGGAACCTTCCAGATAGCGAAGACTTCGCAAGTTTCGGACAACTCGATTGCATCCAGTTAGAGCTAGAGCCAGCAACTCTCGAAACTTCTCCTCAATGATGTCGGCTGAAACGCTGAGTTCCATTGGAAGAAACGGAGTCGCATCGAGCTCGAGTTTGTATCTCTGCACGGGCATTGCTTCTTGGCCTTGTATGGTAGTTCCGTTAGCGACGGCGGCACAATCTTCTGCCAAGGGTGGATCAAAATCAACATCGACGTTGGTACTTGGAGATCCGCTAGGGGAACTTGTAAACGTCGAAGAATCCTGAGTTGGAGGGTCGGTTTCCAATGGAACATCTGTGATATTCGTCTCTGCGATTGTATCACTTTCAACTTGTGATGGTCCATTTGAGGCGGATGAATTCGTGTTACGAGTGCCAAGCCATGCTCCAATACCGGCAATTGCAACAACAAAGATAAAAAGCAGGCAGCAACAGATCCGAGCGCTCTTTTTCTGTTTGAATCGTTCCCAGTTCCTTGGATTCGAATTGCCATTCTGTGCTTCGTTGTTTTCACTTGACTCCGGAACAAAGATTCCCGTAGCCGTCGACTTGGCTTTCTTTGGTCCTTTGCCATCAAGCTCCAAAGCTTCGTCTCCATCAGTGTCTTCTACAGCATTAGCTGTCACGAGTCCATCCGTATTCATAGGATCGAGATGATCTCCCTTTTCAGCTTCAAGTCTTGCTCTTCTTTCTACCCGACTTTCCTCCGTAGCTGACACAGCCGACACAGGCCTGCTGCCTCTTCCTTTCTTGGTCGTTATACCAGACTGGTGGGCACCGGGCACCAATCCATTGATAGTCAAGTTCTTTGCCTTGGAAGCAGAATCCTTGGCGGATCGATCTTTATCAACTTGAGTTCCACGAGAGGACGCATGCGACCCAGGCATCGGCACAGTGATCGGTTGACTCGATGAATCCAAGAGGCTCTTTGCCTTTGCGGCAGCATCCGCCTTGGTGAGTCGATCTTGCTGGCCTCGTCTTCTACCAGCTTTATGCTTGCTGCTGTGACCGCTGCTGCCTTCAATCGGTACGTCTGTACGATCAGAACCACGGGCCTTACTTTCTTTCCTTCTCTCTTTTCCAGAAAGTTTCTCTTTGCCAGCGTCAGTTCCGCGAGAGACCGCATGGGCACCTGGCATCGGTCCAGTAATTGATTGGCTCGGTCGATCCAAGATTTCCTTTGCCTTTGCTGCAGCATCCGCCTTGGTAAGTCGATCTTGTTGGCCTCGTCTTCTACCTGTTCTATGCTTGCTGGTGCTGTGACCACTCTGGCCTTCAATCGGTGCTTCAACATCAGTACGGTCAGCAACATTCGACCCAGCAACACTGCTGTCTCGCTCAGCACGAGCCTTTTCCTTGGCCTTGAGTTCTTCCTCGCTTCTCTTGGTTCGGCGAGGTTCATTCCTCTTTGGATCGGTGCTGTTGCGATGTGAGGATCGGCTGCCGCTGCTCCTCGATTTCCTGCTGCTTTCGGTTACGCTTTCCTCAGAGTTCATGTTGATTCAATCTCTATCGCAAACAGTATCAATACGCTCGATTTTTGCAATCCAATAATTTAACTCTTCAAACAATAAATATAAAACTTCCGCCGAAAAACAAAAGAGAGGCAGTCATCTTCCACTAGATGATCGAGGGGGACCTCCATTGTACGCACCCGGTAGCAATATGTACGTGTATGTGTTCGTAGATGAAAAGCCTGTATGGCCAAGGAAGACTTTGAACTTCGAAGTGTCGGAACACTTATGGGAAATACACGCCGGCAAACCATCCCTTTGCGATTCAGAGCATCTCCAGAAGTTTTCAATGACAAAAAGAACGACAAAGAAAGTGCTGCATTGGGGTATGGGCTCAAAAATGAAATGGAAAAACTTGTCCAGACCGTCGAAAAATACATTACTGTAGGTCAAGGTTCTATTTTAGGATACCTCCAGGTAAACATGTATGAATGGTATGATATATTGAATATTGGACACATCTCTAGAGGGTACAATAATCGGCAATATGCTATGCCCTAGGATCGGCCATGTTGCTTTGTGCCATACCCAGCATTTCAAATTCTACGGTCGTCGGGCGTTTCGATGCTCGCAGTTGGTTTGTTTCCAGCATCAGCATCTTACTCTAAGCAACCGTACCACTTCTGCTCTTTTATCAAAGTTGATCATTCCAAAAGACTTATTTCCATTGAAGAATCAATCATAGCTTCAGTTTCACCGCCATCGACAACGATATGCAATCCACATTACAATCTTATTAACTCCTAAACATTGCCGCCAAGCCTTGCCTTGGGCCTTGTCTTCGTTCCAAGAAGATAATGACATTTTAGATTCATCAGAACATCATGATTCCTCCTATAGTTTGACGAAGATTCCAATACTAAATCCTTACAGGAAGTAGATCTCGATGATGGCATCATGGCGAACCGGTTTATAGATAGCTCGGAAACTACTCTTTCCTTGTTGGAAGCAGGAGTACAGTCCATCAAGCCATGGGAAAACTTGAATGATGGAACATTGGTTGGGAACCTATTTCGTTCTCATTGTTCGTTCTCATGAAGAGCATTCTCAACAGACAACCAGTAATAGAAATCTAAAGAAAAAGAAAACGGCGGCAGCAACCAACGAACGGAATGCCGTCGATACCATGGGCTTCCCGGCGATGAATAAACACAGTATCATTACGGTACAGCATAATCCAATTCATTCACCTGAAAGAGATCAATGAAAGACTGCAAAGTGTCGTCAAGCTGACGGAAAAGTGCGATGGACATGCTCTATTGAAGAGGATCGAACTATTCTGGGATCAACTTTAAAAACACATTCTTTAGTAAGCAGTGCAGTAGCAAGATATGTAAATCCCACCCCCGTTTTTGCTTTCAAAAGAATGCGACAAGTGCTTGATGATGGTGATGATATTGTTTGTGCGCAATATACCGAATATGGTTTCTGTACCAGGTACACGTGTACCTGGTACCGGTACGCACGTACGTTTATCACAATAGTCTGACGCCGAATTTCCGAGTATGACGTGTATATTCATATCTGTACCCGTATACGTTAATGTGTCGGGGGAAATTGAGAATATATATGGCCGACCCGCATCTTTAATTTGACAGATTTTTCAACATTCTTGATGTCAACGGCTGCAGTTGGAAGTTGTCTCACAAAGGGCCCACCCTCCTTCGTATTGGAATATACGGCTCGGAAGATGAATCATCGCAACAAATTTCTTCTGAAGCGAGCAAAAGAAATTAGAAATGATTGCCATCATCACTCGACCTCATCCTGGTCAGAACCAAGAATTAAAATGGTATCGAGTACCAAAGCAACTGCAGACGGATGCGGTTCTTCAAGGCTAATCGAACTTTTGAGGTGCAATTGGCATTGTCGGCAAATATAAAATGACAAAGCTCTCTTTGAGCAAATGAATTTCTAATTGCCATCAAGAACTATTGTATGGGAATTTTAAGATGATACCGAGCGCTGCCGATTGAATAGTCTGGCGCCGGGTTGAGATGGACTGTTGGTGTCGAAATTAAATGCCCCGACAACTCTGATGAGCCCTACGCACGACATTCTGATTTAAGGAGGATGATGCACCGCCGCACGTAGCACCGAACACAGTCACAGCGAGAATATCCCATGCTTTTTTCGAACATCAAATTCGTGCTTGTGACAGAAGAAACATCCCGCGCATATCACCCAAATACATCTTCCTTCTCTAATATGCATTGCATCAGAAGTACAATGAATGGTGCAGTAGTTCCTATCCTACATGGCTTTCGGTTGACACAGATGCTTGGATGATCCCAAATTTATAGTACTGTCGCTGGAGTGTTTGGTGATTCGTTCCAACATATTTTTTACAATGAATACGATTTACAATTGATAAGAATCGCAAGCGTGACAGAAGAATGGACCTGGTGGATTTGCAGCGAGGTTGGGATTGGACTGGGATTGGCAGCTGGTGGCCCCGGCAAAGGAGTTGGCCATATTGGCAATGCTCGGAATGCGTGAGCCCCACGGACAAAGATTCTGATCGAAGGATGATGCTTCCGCAAACAAGTTCCACATGTTTGTCACAGAAGATACATCCCAGGATGATAAATCCTGATTGAAGGCATATGCGCGGTAGAACATCCATCCCATATCTTGCACAGAAGACACATCCCAGGACGACAAGTCACCATTGAAGACCGTTGCTCCAGCGAACATGAATCCCAAAACAGTAACGGAAGAAACATCCCAGGATGACACGTCTTGATTGAAGGATGATGCACGTTGAAACATTCGCATCATGTTTGTTACTGAAGAAACATCCCAAGAGGATGTGTCTTGGTTGAATGATAATGCCCACAAGAACATCGAACTCATATCTGTGACCGAGGAAACATCCCAGGATGACAAGTCTTTATTGAAGGATGATGCGTAGTGGAACATTGACGTCATTTTTGTCACAGAAGAGACATTCCATGATGACAAGTTTTGATTGAATTTTAAGGCACCATTAAACGTGCCAGTCATGTCAGTCACAGAAGAAACATCCCATGATGACAGGTCTTGATCGAAAGATTGTGCGTTGCGGAACATGGCCGAAATGCTCGTTACAGAAGAAACATTCCATGATGACAAGTCTTGATTGAAGGATGACGCGCCATCGAACATGGCTTCCATTGTTGTGACAGAAGAAACATCCCAAGTTGACAGGTCTTGCTTGAAGGATGATGCAGATTGAAACATTCCACTCATATCTGCAACAGAAGAGACATCCCAGTTTCCAATGTCCTCATTGAAAGTAGTGCGATCACGGAAGAGATCTAACATACTGGTAACACCTGTACCAAAACACCAGTCTCCAATTGGTCCATATGTGTCTTCGACTGATGCCTTTGACTGAGCAGAGTCCAGAAACCAGTTTCCAACCGCATCAGAAAGCTCGCTGTTGTATCGAAAACAAGTCACTGTCGGCGATGAGGTTGGCACAGGAGTAGGTGGGGCAGTCGTGGGTTGAAGCGTGGGTGGAGAGGTTGGTGGCAAAGTAGGACCAGGTGTCCGGGCTATGCTTGGGGCTTCACTTGGGGCTTCACTTGGCGCTTCACTTGGCGCTTCACTAGGGGTTTCGGTTGGCACTCGGGATGGGACAGAGGACGGGCTCCGCGAAGGATTGCGAGACATCGTCTGCGATGGCATTGGTGTTGACCTTGGAACCATGCTGACAGGAGACAAGGATGGCATTTGTGATGGAGCCTGTGACGGCAAAAGAGAGGGATGTGCAGTGGGAAAGAGTGTCGGCACCACTGAAGCAGTCGGGGGAGTCGCGAAATCAATATATCCCAAATTCGTAACGATAATTCTTTCGTAGAGCCCAGCTAATTCAAGTTTTTCGGCAAGTACACCGTCTCCAAGAAAGGCACTGACTTCACCAATCACATCCACGACTTTCACCGAATCATCCTTTACCGCAATGTCAAGCTCCACATTGATTCGATGACACCGTAGATTGGAAGCATCGTCGCATTGTACCCCCTCGACTCCTGACGCATTGAGTGCCACATTTCCAATCGCATACACAAAGGAACCTTCCAGATAGCGAAGACTTCGCAAGTTTCGGGCAACTCGATTGCATCCAGTTAGAGCTAGAGCCAGCAACTCTCGAAACTTCTCCTCAACGATGTCGGCTGAAACGCTGAGTTCCATTGGAAGAAACGGAGTCGCATCGAGCTCGAGTTTGTATCTCTGCACGGGCATTGCTTCTTGGCCTTGTATGGTAGTTCCGTTAGCGACGGCGGCACAATCTTCTGCCAAGGGTGGATCAAAATCAACATCGACGTTGGTACTTGGAGATCCGCTAGGGGAACTTGTAAACGTCGAAGAATCCTGAGTTGGAGGGTCGGTTTCCAATGGAACATCTGTGATATTCGTCTCTGCGATTGTATCACTTTCAACTTGTGATGGTCCATTTGAGGCGGATGAATTCGTGTTACGAGTGCCAAGCCATGCTCCAATACCGGCAATTGCAACAACAAAGATAAAAAGCAGGCAGCAACAGATCCGAGCGCTCTTTTTCTGTTTGAATCGTTCCCAGTTCCTTGGATTCGAATTGCCATTCTGTGCTTCGTTGTTTTCACTTGACTCCGGAACAAAGATTCCCGTAGCCGTCGACTTGGCTTTCTTTGGTCCTTTGCCATCAAGCTCCAAAGCTTCGTCTCCATCAGTGTCTTCTACAGCATTAGCTGTCACGAGTCCATCCGTATTCATAGGATCGAGATGATCTCCCTTTTCAGCTTCAAGTCTTGCTCTTCTTTCTACCCGACTTTCCTCCGTAGCTGACACAGCCGACACAGGCCTGCTGCCTCTTCCTTTCTTGGTCGTTATACCAGACTGGTGGGCACCGGGCACCAATCCATTGATAGTCAAGTTCTTTGCCTTGGAAGCAGAATCCTTGGCGGATCGATCTTTATTAACTTGAGTTCCACGAGAGGACGCATGCGACCCAGGCATCGGCACAGTGATCGGTTGGCTCGATGAATCCAAGAGGCTCTTTGCCTTTTCGGCAGCATCCGCCTTGGTGAGTCGATCTTGCTGGCCTCGTCTTCTACCAGCTTTATGCTTGCTGCTGTGACCGCTGCTGCCTTCAATCGGTGCGTCTGTACGATCAGAACCACGGGCCTTACTTTCTTTCCTCCTCTCTTTTCCAGAAAGTTTCTCTTTGCCAGCGTCAGTTCCACGAGAGGCCGCATGGGCACCTGGTATCGGTCCAGTAACTGGTTGGCTCGGTCGATCCAGGATTTCCTTTGCCTTTGTTGCAGCATCCGCCTTGGTAAGTCGATCTTGTTGGCCTCGTCTTCTACCAGTTTTATGCTTGCTGGTGCTGTGACCACTCTGGCCTTCAATCGGTGCTTCAACATCAGTACGGTCAGCAACATTCGACCCAGCAACACTGCTGTCTCGCTCAGCACGAGCCTTTTCCTTGGCCTTGAGTTCTTCTTCGCTTCTCTTGGTTCGACGAGGTTCATTCCTCTTTGGATCGGTGCTGTTGCGATGTGAGGATCGGCTGCCGCTGCTCCTCGATTTCCTGCTGCTTTCGGTTACGCTTTCCTCAGAGTTCATGTTGATTCAATCTCTATCGCAAACAGTATCAATACGCTCGATTTTTGCAATCCAATAATTTAACTCTTCAAACAATAAATATAAAACTTCCGCCGAAAAACAAAAGAGAGGCAGTCATCTTCCACTAGATGATCGAGGGGGACCTCCATTGTACGCACCCGGTAGCAATATGTACGTGTATGTGTTCGTAGATGAAAAGCCTGTATGGCCAAGGAAGACTTTGAACTTCGAAGTGTCGGAACACTTATGGGAAATACACGCCGGCAAACCATCCCTTTGCGATTCAGAGCATCTCCAGAAGTTTTCAATGACCAAAAGACAAAGAAAGTATTGGGGTATGGGCTCAAAAATGAAATAAAAAAAACTGTTCGCAATAAAATAGAATACAACTGCGCGGTCCGCCGGACCGTCGATGTTCAATCGGACACTTCCTCGAACCATCAAGCTTTTTATTATTACAGAACCCGCGGTATATATGGCTGTGAACCAATTAAAGCTACAACATTGCTTCCCAAGGAATAAAGCCCGCTATGACCATGGTCCCAGGCGAAGGGTCGTATGCGGAATTTGAAGATGTGGAATGGAAGGATTGTTCTCTTGCGGCTGTTGCTCGGATGCAAGAAGATGACGACGCTGCAGTATCCACAGAAGTCACAACTTGTGGTCCTCCACTCGCTTTGAAAACTGAGTATCCCTTGCCCTTTGCCTCACACTGGAACAGGAAGTGCCCTCTTTTTGAATGGTCAAGATGCGGCACTGATCCGAGTCTCCTCCATCGCAGATGCAAATGGCCAGATGGTACTACACATGGCTAATAGTCAAAATGTCTACTTTGCCATTGTGAGCGGACCAGGAGAGATCCAAGGAAGTGTGCGGCAATCCAAAATCATAGGAAGCTAACAATGCTCCGTGGCACATTGCATATCATGGATTGGTCCGAGCGGTAGTCCGCGTCGGATTATGTCGAGATCAGCCAATCGAAGACTAAAAACATGTGTCACCAAGATCCAATAAGAATTCATGAGCATCATAACAGTAACCAACTTAGGGCAGGCACCGAATGAGCTGTGACCTATCCGGTTCAATACTATAGGTATAGCCACAGCTTGCAGCGAGGCACATACTGACAATCCATCTTTGGGAATCGATCTGATAGACGTCGTTGATAGATCTACTTCAACCAGAATGTCGCAGCCATTAAAGGCAGACTCACCAATATGGTTCAGAGATGAGGGGAGCTTGAGTCTTTGTAGCGAATCGCAACAGCAAAAAGAGTTTTCTAAAAGCAATTGTCAACCTTCGTCCTATCGATAGACTGGCAGAGTTCTCGTGTGGTGCAAGAGGAAGGGGGTAGAAACAAAGCCGAGATGGACAGGAAAACCGTCAAAACAATGCGCAAAACCGTCAACCATCCAATCGATCTGCTTCGGAACCAAAGACATATTGCAATTGAGAGCGACAGTGAAATCTTCCGGAAGAAAAAACGTTTGCAAGAGCACTGCACAATTCAAAGGCTCGGTCTGCAATCATGATCGGCTGGGAATAATCCAGCGTTACTGCAGCCATAGAATAATGCAATGACGCCAATGCAGGCTCGCAATTTGCAGGGAGGCACAACCTGAGAACGTATAAAAGGGAATCTGCCTATAATGAACGTTCTTGATAGATCTGCTTCGATCAAGGCTTTGCTGCCGCCATAAATGCAGAATCACTAGAATCAAGTTCACAGCTGAGGGGATCTTGACTCTTTGCAGCGGGCTGCAATATTATGGAAAGTGCGGTTGGTGGAGAACATTCAAACTCAAGTTTAGTCATGGCTGCACACAGCGACTCTGCTTCTGGAGATGATGATCCATCATTTGACATTATCACTTTCGATTGGGAGTTACAAGCAATATATTGGCGAACTATTACAATGTGTCACAGATCAACTTTGAAACGCATTCTTTTAATAAGCAGTGCAGTAGCAAGATATTTCAATCCCACTCCGCTTCTGCTTTCAAGAGAATTCATGTGAGTGCTTGATGATGGTGATGAGTGCGATTCATTGTGATACCGGTATGCGTGCGGTACAGTACGTGTCCGCCATATTTGAATATATATATTACTGCGGGCTCGCAGCATTTCCGAGTATGACGGATGTAGTATGTAAAATATAATATTAATACCCCAATAGCTGAAATCCAGCAGAATATGGCTGGCCCGCGTCTTCATAATCTGATGGATTTTTCTCAACATTCTTTCTATACGGCAATGTATTATACACAACACGACGACATCGACGATAATCTTCAGACACTATAGTAGGGTGCTGTAGCAAGTCAAGTTTTCTACAAGCTAAAGAACTCTCTCCTTCGTATTTTGGAATGAACGGCTTGGATGATGGATCGTATTGATATAATCGCACAATAATCTTTTTCTTTTGATGTGAGCAATAAGGCTGCAATTATTGCGTTGAGGATGGCGGAATGAGAAATTTCAATTACCAAGACGGATATACCGGTATGGTCATCGCCAAGACGTACTGCGTATGGTCGCCAGCCAAGGCGTCATCAGATACTGTACGATTTCAGGATGTCCATGTTATCACGAGTGCCAAAACAACTACAGACGGACACAGTGATTCAAGACATACAGTATACTACCAGGTAATATATACGTGAGATCCAATGGGCATTCTCAGCAAATTGACAAGAGTTCGGAAATGAAGCAATTTCGAATTCTCATCACGAATTGTGGGAATTTACCAAGAAGACCATTTGATCAATGCCGAATGACGAATGTTGGCACATTGCTCATCTCGGCAATTTGGCAAATCTGATTCGGGACTTGAATTTCCAATTGCCATCAAGAACTAGTATACGACTGTGGGAATCAATCTACCACCAAGACCATTTTATCAATGCCAAACCTGATGGGATATGCTCCTTCATTGCTCACTTGGATCATTGTCCACCAGATAGAGCTGTGGGCCATGCAAAGGCTTTTCTCTATTTTAAGAGCGGTAGTGACTCCGATTATGGGATTCGAATGCTGAAAAGACCTTCAGTCAGTGAGTTGAACAGGATGCCGTCGTGTCGACTTGCTTTACCATGAGATGTCATGAGCGCAAACGATGAAAAAGGATTTCAAATTGAGTTTTTAAAAAAAGCTCTGTTAAACCTGCTTTCAACATTCACAACGACGCGTGCATCGTACACAATTGTTCAATCTCACTTGTCAATGCCAGTGGAATGTGGAACATGAGCTGAGGGCATTTCTAATGCATCAACACCGTACCGACTAGAATGAATGTATTTCTTCAATTTTGACCAAAGAGGCAAAACGGGATCTGGCACACTCAAATCGAGAGTTATGCTGGATTGGGATGGACTGTGCGTTGGTGTTGTCTAATATATGCGCCGACAAGCAAGACTGGCAATGCTTCTGATTGAAGGATGATGCACCACAGAACATAGCCACACACAAAACAGCCCATGCGGAAAAGTCTGGATTGAAAGATGATGCTTGTTCGAACACCAGATGGCTGCTTGTGCCTTTTGACATTAGAGACATTATCCTACGCGTTGCACACACATACCTATTTCTTCTTTCTTCTGCATGCTTTGCATCAGAAGTAGTGAGGAGCTGTCTAATGCCAATGCTCTACTGAAACAGCACTAGAGTGGTTGGTTATTCTAATATATATCTGAACAATAAACATAATAAAAAGGTGATGGTATTATATTGATTGCGGTTGATTTCTAATCGCAAGCGCTACAGAAGAAGAATGGACCCGGTAGATTCCCAGAGAGGTTCGGATCGGATTGTGATTGACAGCTGGTGGCGCTGAAAAACACGTCGGCCACATTGGTGTTGCTTGGCAGGCGCGACCTCCACACACAAAGATTCTGATCGAAGGATGTTGCTCCAACAAACATCCTACTTATGTCCATCACAGAAGAAACATCCCAAGATGACAAGTTTTGATTGAAGTTTGATGCACTCTCGAACATCCGCATCATGTCAACCACAGAAGATACATCCCAGGATGACAAGTCTTGATTGAAGGATAATGCCGAGTAAAACATCCAACTCATATCTGTGACCGAGGAAACATCCCAAGATGACAAGTCTTGATTGAAGGATGATGCATACCCGAACATGAAATTCATGAGTCTGACGGAAGAAACGTCCCAGGATGACAAGTCTTGATTGAAAGACATTTCATTGTAGAACATTCCGTTCATCTGTGTGACCGAAGAAACATCCCAGGATGACAAGTCTTGATTGAAGGTTGACGCAGAGTGGAACATGTTTGTCATGGAAGCCACAGCAGATACATCCCAAGATGACAAGTCTTGATTGAAAGATGATGCAGCTTGGAACATGTCAGTCATATCTCTCACAGAAGAAACGTCCCAGGCTGACAAGTCACCATTGAAGACCATTGCTCCAGCGAACATATAATTCATGCTTGTCACAGAAGATACATCCCAAGATGACAAGTCTTGATTGAAAGATGATGCAGCTTGGAACATGTCAGTCATATCTCTCACAGAAGAAACGTCCCAGGCTGACAAGTCACCATTGAAGACCGTTGCTCCAGCGAACATATAATTCATGCTTGTCACAGAAGATACATCCCAGGATGACAAGTCTTGATTGAAGGATGATGCAAACGCGAACATATAATGCATGAGTCTGACCGAGGAAACGTCCCAGGATGACAAGTCTTGGTTGAATGATGATGCTTTGAAGAACATTCCGTTCATCTGTGTGACCGAAGAAACATCCCAGGATGACAAGTCTTGATTGAAAGATGATGTAGTGTGGAACATGTTTGTCATGGTAGTCACAGAAGAAACATCCCAAGATGACAAGTCTTGATTGAAGGACACTGTGCCTTCTAACATGAAACTCATATCTCTCACAGAAGAAACATCCCAGGATGACAAGTCTTGATTGAAAGATGATGCGTATTGGAACATTGAGGGCATTTTTGTCACAGAAGAAACATCCCAAGATGACAAGTTTTGATTGAATTGGAATGCAAGGTGAAACATCCCGGTCATATCAGTCACAGAAGAAACATCCCATGATGACAGGTCTTGATCGAAAGATTGTGCGTTGCGGAACATGACCGACATGCTCGTTACAGAAGAAACATTCCATGATGACAAGTCTTGATTGAAGGATGACGCGCCATCGAACATGGCTTCCATTGTTGTGACAGAAGAAACATCCCAGGATGACATTTCTTGATTGAAGGATGATGCAGATTGAAACATTCCACTCATATCTGAAACAGAAGAGACATCCCAGTTTCCAATGTCCTCATTGAAAGTAGTGCGATCACGGAAGAGATCTACCATACTGGTAACACCTGTACCAAAACACCAGTCTCCGATTGGTCCATATGTGTCTTCGACTGATGCCTTTGACTGAGCAGAGTCCAGAAACCAGTTTCCAACCGCATCAGAAAGCTCGCTGTTGTATCGGAAACAAGTCACTGTCGGAGATGAGGTTGGCACAGGAGTAGGTGGGGCAGTCGTGGGCTGAAGCGTGGGTGGAGAGGTTGGTGGCAAAGTAGGACCAGGTGTCCGGGCTATGCTTGGAGCATTGCTTGGGGCTTCACTTGGGGTTTCGGTTGGCACTCGGGATGGGACAGAGGATGGGCTCCGCGAAGGATTGCGAGACATCGTCTGCGACGGCATTGGTGTTGACCTTGGAACCATGATGACAGGAGTCAAGGATGGCATTTGTGATGGAGCTTGTGTCGGCAAAAGGGAGGGATGTGCAGTGGGAAAGAGTGTCGGCACCACTGAAGGAGCCACATTGTTGCTGCTCGGAGGTGTCGCGAAATCAATATATCCCAAATTAGTAACGATAATTCTTTCGTAGAGCCCAGCTAATTCAAGTTTTTCGGCAAGTACACCGTCTCCAAGAAAGGCACTGACTTCACCAATCACATCCACGACTTTCACAGAATCATCCTTTACCACAATATCAAGAGCCATATTGATTCGATGACACCGTAGATTAGAAGCCTCGTCGCATTGTACCCCCTCGACTCCTGACGCATTGAGTGCCACATTTCCAATCGCATACACAAAGGAACCTTCCAGAGAGCGAAGACTTCGCAAGTTTCGGACAACTCGATTGCATCCAGTTAGAGCTAGAGCCAGCAACTCTCGGAACTTCTCCTCAACGATGTCGGCTGAAACGCTGAGTTCCATTGGAAGAAACGGAGTCGCATCGAGCTCGAGTTTGTATCTCTGCACGGGCATTGCTTCTTGGCCTTGTATGGTAGTTCCGTTAGCGACGGCGGCACAATCTTCTGCCAAGGGTGGATCAAAATCAACATCGACGTTGGTACTTGGAGATCCGCTAGGGGAACTTGTAAACGTCGAAGAATCCTGAGTTGGAGGGTCGGTTTCCAATGGAACATCTGTGATATTCGTCTCTGCGATTGTATCACTTTCAACTTGTGATGGTCCATTTGAGGCGGATGAATTCGTGTTACGAGTGCCAAGCCATGCTCCAATACCGGCAATTGCAACAACAAAGATAAAAAGCAGGCAGCAACAGATCCGAGCGCTCTTTTTCTGTTTGAATCGTTCCCAGTTCCTTGGATTCGAATTGCCATTCTGTGCTTCGTTGTTTTCACTTGACTCCGGAACAAAGATTCCCGTAGCCGTCGACTTGGCTTTCTTTGGTCCTTTGCCATCAAGCTCCAAAGCTTCGTCTCCATCAGTGTCTTCTACAGCATTAGCTGTCACGAGTCCATCCGTATTCATAGGATCGAGATGATCTCCCTTTTCAGCTTCAAGTCTTGCTCTTCTTTCTACCCGACTTTCCTCCGTAGCTGACACAGCCGACACAGGCCTGCTGCCTCTTCCTTTCTTGGTCGTTATACCAGACTGGTGGGCACCGGGCACCAATCCATTGATAGTCAAGTTCTTTGCCTTGGAAGCAGAATCCTTGGCGGATCGATCTTTATCAACTTGAGTTCCACGAGAGGACGCATGCGACCCAGGCATCGGCACAGTGATCGGTTGGCTCGATGAATCCAAGAGGCTCTTTGCCTTTGCGGCAGCATCCGCCTTGGTGAGTCGATCTTGCTGGCCTCGTCTTTTACCAGCTCTATGCTTGCTGCTGTGACCGCTGCTGCCTTCAATCGGTGCGTCTGTACGATCAGAACCACGGGCCTTACTTTCTTTCCTCCTCTCTTTTCCAGAAAGTTTCTCTTTGCCAGCGTCAGTTCCACGAGAGGCCGCATGGGCACCTGGTATCGGTCCAGTAACTGGTTGGCTCGGTCGATCCAGGATTTCCTTTGCCTTTGTTGCAGCATCCGCCTTGGTAAGTCGATCTTGTTGGCCTCGTCTTCTACCAGTTTTATGCTTGCTGGTGCTGTGACCACTCTGGCCTTCAATCGGTGCTTCAACATCAGTACGGTCAGCAACATTCGACCCAGCAACACTGCTGTCTCGCTCAGCACGAGCCTTTTCCTTGGCCTTGAGTTCTTCTTCGCTTCTCTTGGTTCGACGAGGTTCATTCCTCTTTGGACTGGTGCTGTTGCGATGCGAGGATCGGCTGTCGCTGCTCCTCGATTTCCTGCTGCTTTCGGCTACGCTTTCCTCAGAGTTCATGTTGCTTCAATCTTTATCAAACAGTATCCGCAACACGCTCGATTTTTGCCATCCAAATAACTCTTCAAACAATAAATATAAAACTTCCGCCGAAAAACAAAAGAGAGGCGCAGTAATCTTCCAGAGGCGGACCTCAAGCATCAGCTGTATGTAGCAATATGTACGTGTTCGTAGATGAAAAGCCTGTATGGCAAATGAAGACCACGAAGTGTCGGAACACTTATGGGAAATACACGCCGGCAAACCATCCCTTTGCGATTCAGAGCATCTCCAGAAGTTTTCAATGACCAAAAGAACGACAAAGAAAGTATTGGGGTATGTGCTCAAAAATGAAATAAAAACTGTTCGGAATAAAAAGCAACTGGTCCGATCCGTCGATGCAATCGGACACTTCCTCTCGAACGAAGCTTCATGGCTGTCGGCTGCGGTAGTAGGTAGGAAAGATGGGAAACCAAAAGCTACAGTTTTCGACTTTTGTTTCTGCACCACTGAGCTACAATCGAGCATAATATTAACTATATATGACATTATCGGCTATATTGCTTTCTTTTCTATTCGTATTTAGCATTATGTTGCTCGTTTGTTGTTGTCGTGCTTTGTGGTTGTATTAATAGTACTTGTTGCTGCTCAGCACGGCCGGCCACCAGCCAGCTACAAATTGCTTTCTTCCCAGCACCAGAATCTTACTCCTTGTGCTCTTTCATCAAAGTTGTTCAGTTTCTAGATGGTGACGAGGTTTCGGCTACTTGCTAGTAGGAATGTAAGAAACTTACAACTCCTCAAAAAGCAAAGTTCGGTATACGTTAACATTTAACGTCCCAACATACACAGATCTTCAGTACCCAGTCTTCACATATAAAATAACGAGAGTTGAAAAAAATCGATGTCAAATAAGAAGAGTGACGAGTGAATGAATCAATCGTCGATAGATCTCTTTCGTGTTTTGTCTTGTGGCAAGATAAGAAGCAGACTCCGAGGCTGCACCTACAGTATACAACTCCAAGAGAAAGAGAAGAAAGCATCATCAAAACTTGCACTTTCCCATAAAGCTACAATTGGAAATGAAACATTAGGTTTGGAATCAAAAAGGTCGAACGAAGAATATACAAAACTCAGATCCCAATAAGTTGGAGCAGAGAATACCGCACGTACACCCTCAGGTCACATTCCAAAAGACCGTTCAGTGACAAACAAACTCCAATTCATCGTCCATCGACACTATGGCGTCTACATTAGAATCCTTCTACTCGTGGACATTGCCAAGCCCTCGGGTTTTGTCCTCGTTACAAGAGGATGACGACATTTCCGATGCATCGGAATATTCTTCAGATGATTCAGAAGATCATGATTCCGACGATTCCAATACGGAATCAGAGGAAGATCTCGATGATGAAAATGACGAACCGGTTCAGATAGCACGGAAACTACTCTTTGATTGCTGGAAGCAGGACCATAGTCCAGCCATGGGGAATTTGTATGACGGGGGATTGGGGACGTATTTCGTTCTCATGGAGTACGCCCAACGGAGAACCAATAGAAAGCTAAAGTTGAGGCAAAGAAAAAGACAACGACGGAAGCAACCAACGAATGGAATGCAGACACCAAAGAGACATACGCTAGGCGGGATAGGAACTTCGTCGCCGAGGGGCTCCGTTACTCCAAGGTCGTCATCCAATTCAGCACCACCCAATAAGGCTTTTTTCAATTCGCCGCCGAGAAAGAAACGAACTTCGATTTACAGAAGTAAACATTATTTGAAGCAGGCGTGCGATGCTGCCGAGAAGGCTTGTCAGTCTTACCATCAAACCATGTCAACAGTTACTACTTCGTTTATGTACCAAAAACAAAACAACATTTCCATTTTTCAATCCGAATGGGTCGGAGCGAGAGCCTTGTATGGGGTATGCCTTTATCATTTAGAGCAAGAGCATGTGGAACCAGATCCTCTGAGCACGGGGCAAACACGGCTGTCTCTGTCGTCCGTGAAACCAACAACATCAACACCGGACCGGACGTCGATAGCGAGTGACTCCATCCAGCAGGACGGCGAAGAAAAGACTAGCAGGGCGAAAAGTATACTCGACGATTTGGTGGAAGAAATGCTGGAAAAAGCAAGTCATGAACGAAGCAATACGGTTCTATCAGGTAGAGCGGGGGCCTTGCAAGCTATATTTTGGATTCGATCGCAATTGCGAGATCCTTACTGGAGTCAGGAAGCAGTCGTGGAATTGGCAAAACAGATAGTGCAAGGTGGAATTCTTACGGTCAATACAGAAGCCACTGTCACGACGGAGGATACCACCCACACAAGTGGACCTGAGTCGCCTTCCACTTCGTCTGGATTGCCAGGTCGACAGAGTTACCGTCATGGAAATTTTCGACCACCCAAGTTGCCCAAAAGTGATGTTACTCGAGAGGGTGCCATTATGGGGCAAATCGGTATATTGCACACCTTGTTGAATCTAACGGCGCAAGAATGGAACTTGATTGAAGAACAAGTGCCTGGCTCGAAACAAATGGTACACGGCAAATTGGATTCTTTGACGGTTCCTCTACTGCCATCAAAGCATCCAAAGGATACACCTGAACATTGCACCAATTGGGCGCATGGTGCCACTTCCTTGGCCTTTCTTTGGATCCAGGCTTCCCAAGTATTTCAATCGAAATCATATCTTTTGGAGGCTCTTGACATTTGCGACAACATCATTTGGCCGAAGATTAGTGGGGATGATGATGATTCTGATTCGGAAGGCGTGAACAACTCAGCTTCGAAAACGACTCGCCCTCCACCAATGGGACTTGCGAAAGGGACCACTGGCATGGCTTTTTTGTTTCTGGCGCTTTCCGAGTATTGTCCAAAGCCAGTATCAACTCTGTGGTTGCGTCGGGCAGAATTCTTGGCACGAATGGCATTGGAACATTCATCGCTAGCTACCTCATTAGCACCAACTCCCATGGACATGGACCATTTGTCCACCGTCTTTCCGTTTGATCGAACAAAACAGAGTAATAAGCAGGGATTCCCACTTGACGCCAAGGACCGATACAGCTTATATCATGGACAAGGTGGACTGGCGACCTTGCTGCTACAACTCCAACGACCAGACCACAAGGTGCACATGCCATTGTATTCCATGGGGTATTCAGAGCAATTGCTACAACCGGAGGATCAATTGCCGCAAGTGAAACTGGTTCTGGATGATATACCGGACGAACCCGTATTTGCGGAGCCAGCAGAACGATCAAAAGAACCGGAACCAGTGATTGAAGAAGAGGACTTGCAAGTAGAAACTCAAGAGGAGGTTGAAGTTGTTGAGTCAGAATCGGAAGAGAAGGAAGAGAGTCTAGACGACATGTTGGATGAAATTCTTGATGACAACAAAGAGACTGAGAAAGAAGAGGTTGTGAAAGAATTTGTCAAGCCGAGGCCATCTGCAAAAGCCATACTACCACGACCTAGTTTTCTGATGCCCAAGTTTCAAGCTCAATCCAACAATTCCTTGTTTTGGTCGTTGCAAAGCGACAGCAATATTGGCGATTCCGAAACCTACAGACCATCCCTGGTCAACACCGCACCAGATTCTGCAGAGAAAGTTCAATTGCGGTCCTATTCACAAACAAATTCACGTTTAAGTGGAATGTCGCTTTCTGAAGCAGCCGCTGCAATGACCGATGCCGCCAAGGATCCCAAAGCAAAAGTGACCAAACGGGAAGAAATTAAAAAGAGAACCAAAGAATCAGCCCAGCCTTCAGATGCTACACGGATCCAAAACATAGTGCCTTCTGATGGATCCAAAGTGATAGTCCAAGAGACGAAAAATAGTGAGCAAGAGAAGAAAACGGTCGCGGCGCCATCACCATCAAGAGCAGATAAAGAAGAAACACAGCCCAAGGATTCAAAACTTTCAAAAAAATCTACGCCATCGCGATCGAAGCAAAATACAGAGCCACCAATCAAGAGCTCAGAGGTATCCCATTCTTCTGGTACCCAGCGAGACAGCGCTTCTACAGTTCATTCCAACCTAGGAAACTTGTCGGCCATGAAAGACACGGATAATAGTGGCCTGATCAAAACTACAAAGGAATGTTCCACCAAGGAGTCTCCAGGCAAATGTTCAAGTCATACAAAGGGTGTTCTACTTGAAACTCCAAAGCGGAATACCTTTCCAAGCTTATCGGCGCAGCAGGAAATGGCCTCCACCCCACAACATCAGCCAACCAGTGTTTTTGAAAGGCTGGCAACGCCTTTGCAAAAGGCCAAACAAAATCCAAAGGCAACACCAGGTCACAAGATTCACCGAACAAGAGATTCTGTACCCGGGTCGGGGGGCAAAGTTCGAATGACTCGATCCGGCATGCTTCAGCAGCAGGCGATGTTGTCAGCCGCTTCTAAAGATGTGGTGCTACCAATGGATGGCAAAATGACATTGATTAGTTCAGAGGATCCACCTCGTGACTTCGTGACTCCCTGTCGTCAACGAACCTCAATGCAAACCACAACGCAGACGTTGGTTGGACCTGGGGCGACAGTTCGAATGACACGTGCAGCAATGCTGAACCAAAAGGTGGCAACACCAGTAAAAAAGGGCGAGGGTGAAACTCCTCCGAAGGCAAAGTATAGGCATTCGCCCTTGTCGCGTGCTTTTCAAATTCATTCAACAAAGGAGACGCTACCGGGATCCAGTGGGAAAGTCCGTTTGACTCGATCTTTGATGTTGAAGCAACAGGTGCTATCAGCAAAAACCAAGGGGAATCAAGAGTCGTCCAGAAGTAGAGACAGACAAAGTGAACCAATGGGTGCATTGGGTTCAAAGGTTCGACTCACACGTGCTGCGATTCTCAAGCAACAACAGACAGCTCCGAATACAAGACAGAGTTGGCAAGGTAGTTTGCGAGGGTCTGGCAGTAACTCTGAAGTCTCAAACCACTCATCTGGGCTTCGAAAGAACCCATTAAAAATTTCTACTGAAAAATTGCCAGGTGCAGGCCCACAAGTTCGGCTAACACGCTCTGCCCAATTGAAGATGAAGGCTCTTAAACCAGAGGTCCAACAAGCCATGGAAGATCATCGAGAGTCAAGAAAACCCCATCCTCCCTTGAATCTTATATACGTTTCTTCCAATAGCTCCACCACATCAATCCTTGGTGATGAGACAAGCCACCCAAACGAGAGAAGCCAAAGGTCTGGTTTCAAGAAGACAAAAAGTCCAATTGCCTGTACGGCGCGAAATCAGAAACCACATCAAAGCAAGAAGAAAGTTGCTCAAGTATCCCAAGCACTGAAAGATGAACCAAGTTCAATGTCCGCCATCAACGGTCCCAGGGACATTGGCATTGAGGAAGAGATCTTGGATGATATTCTTGATAATATTCTTGATGATGACGAGCATGCAACGGATGCCGCTACGGAGACAAAGGCCAGCAAAGAAGCAGAAAGATTGGCTGCATGCATCAATGCAGAAAGGGAAGCTGCTGAATTTCAAGTGGAAGAAGAAAAGGAAGTCACTGCTACAGTTTCTACGGAAAAGAAGGATGCGGAACTGAAAGCCAAGCAAGCAGCCGAAGCTGTTCGAATTGCTGCTGAAGCTCAGCGAATGAAGGCGGAAAAGGAAGCAGCGGAACTGAAAGCCAAACAAGAAGCCGAAGCTGCTGCTGAAGCTAAGCGAATGAAGGCGGAAAAGGAAGCCGCTGAACTGAAAGCCAAGCAAGCAGCCGAAGCTGTTCGAATTGCTGCTGAAGCTAAGCGAATGAAGGCGGAGAAGGAAGCAGCGGAACTGAAAGCCAAGCAAGAAACCGAAGCTGTTCGAATTGCTGCTGAAGCTGAGCGAATGAAGGCGGAAAAGGAAGCCGCTGAACTGGAAGCCAAGCAAGCAGCCGAAGCTGTTCGAATTGCTGCTGAGGCTGAGCGAATGAAGGCGGAAAAGGAAGCCGCTGAACTGAAAGCCAAGCAAGAAGCCGAAGCTGTTCGAATTGCTGCTGAGGCTGAGCGAAGGAAGGCGGAAAAGGAAGCCGCTGAACTGAAAGCCAAGCAAGAAGCCGAAGCTGTTCGAATTGCTGCTGAGGCTGAGCGAAGGAAGGCGGAAAAGGAAGCCGCTGAACTGAAAGCCAAGCAAGCAGCCGAAGCTGTTCGAATTGCTGCTGAGGCTGAGCGAATGAAGGCGGAAAAGGAAGCCGCTGAACTGAAAGAAGAAGAAGAATATGCTGCTAGAATAAAGGCGGAAGCTGTTGCTTCGAGAATTATTGCCAAAACGAAGGCCGCAGAAGAAGCAGAATTTGCTCATCTCAACGCCGGAAGGGAAGGCGAACTCGTGGTGAAAGGGGAAGAAGCTGCCAGAGTTGATGCAGGGAAGGCAGAAGCAGCGCACATCAAGGCCGGATTGGAAGATGCTGAAGTCAAAGCGATGGAAGAAGCCACGGCTGCTAGAGTTGCTGCGGAGAAGAACTCCATAGAAGCATGCATGAAGGCCAAAAAGGAAGCTGCTGAGTTCAAAATAGAAAAAGAGGAAGCTACCGAAATTGCTGACAAAATGAAGGTCACAGAAGAAGCACAGGTTGCTGTATCCACTCATGATGCCACTGAAGCAATTGCAGAATGCAAGGAAGACAGAGTTACCATTTTTCTTGGTGATTTTGTGCCAGTACTAGTATCTGAAGACGGGAAACCAGAGGAAAGGACTCTTGTGAAAGGAGCTTCCATGGTGGAGGAAGCACCACCTATCACGAAGCAAGTCAATTTGTTTCAGGACGAATGGGACAATGATAGTTTTGTCACAGAATCTTTAAGAGGATTCTTAGACAATGCCAACTCCAAACTGGAAGCTGATTTGAGTGATATTCTGAGCGACGGTGTTGTTCGGAATCATTCAGTTGAAAGACAAACCATTCTTTCTGGTGGTCCTGTACCAGTATCTGATTGTGATAACCAAAACGAAGAGAAAGTATTGGAAGACCAAAATGAAGTGAAAGGATTGGAAGATGAGATGCCATTGGAGGCAACAAAGTCTGAGGTACTAGCCTCAAAGCTTGCTGATCATGAGCTGGACCAAGAATCTGACCTAGCCAAGGCAATTATTTCGGAAGCAGACACGACCTATCCTACAGGCATCATTTTGAACGAACATCAGCTGACCACCGCATGTCCAACCGTGGCAAAATTATCGGCTTCAATGGCTTTTGGTACACTAACGATGCTTCCAGAAGAATTCTTGCGAGTCCCAGACGAAAAAGATGAAGAAGAGCATGAAGACTTAACTCCTGCAGAATCGTTGGAGAGTATGCTCCAATGCATTGATTCTTCTCTTTTTGATGAGATTGCAGCCATTACAGCCGTTCTTGGGGAAGATGCCATCCTGCCACGGTCTCGATCCACAACTTCAGATGTCGAACTATTAGATGAACTGCCATCATTTGTGGAAGGGGACGAAGGAATGAACGTTGGACCAGCGTCAAGTTTTGACGAACTCTTTAATGGATTCAGTTTCAACTCGGATAACCAAGAAAGCTATACTGGTGGTGGTACGAGCTCGAAAGACGCCGAGGTGACATCTCCACAACATGGGATGAGTGTTGCACAGATTCGGAGGAGAAAACCAGTAACAGAACAAGCTGGTAGTTTGGATGCCGACACGCATTCGATTCCAAACAGAGGAGGGAAAAAATTCGAATAGACAAGCAAACGCATATATAATAGAATTACAGCACTCGATAGCTTGTCATTTTGCTTGATTGTTCGTTCCTTTTTCATTGTCGTTTGTTCGGCATCCTGTGTTGTGTTAACGGACATTTGCTTGAAGGAAACGGAAGCTAAATAAATAAGTAGCAACCGACGAATACGAACTTCAAAACTGGCGTGTGTCCGTGTGAGTGACTTTCCGTTGTATTATTTTATGTTCGATGTTCATCTATTTGAGAGACCAATAAGCCAAGAAAGGAGAAGGAATACAGTAGGACATTCAGCATACCGGCGGTACGATTGCAGTCCAACAAGACAAGTCCCATCCGTTTCAACGCAGCATCCTAAACCCTCAATATTCTACATTCACTATATTGATAACAAATGAAGGAACTTGGCTCCCAAATTCAATAAAAAGAAAGAAAACTGATAGAACATACACACAAAACTTAATACAATGTTGGAACGCCACGTTAAGGTGAAAGAAGGAATCACATTGTCAGATGATGAAATCAGTCATAATCGTGACTCATCATCGAACATTAGTGCTCAAACTTCCTCCAGCAAGGAAAACCTAAAGCGTACGATAAACGATGATCAGATGTTTCAGGAATCTGATGAGGATGATGTCTCTGATCATTCAGACGATAGCGGAACGGACAAATCGAAACGAAAATCTGTTTTGGAAATGGCCAATGCCATTGAATCTTCGATATCGTTGTCCAGTCCAGTTGCTGTCAGAAAGCCTGCTGTTACTCTCGGGGACGATGCCGGCAACGTGGGTAAGCCTTCCAATCAACAGCCACAGTCTCAATTTTGGTCTTTGCAAGACAGCAGGCGGTCCTCCGTCACTAGCACTCTATCAAAGATCAAACGACCGCCACAACCATCGCCGTCAATACACAAATCCCCAGTTCAAGTACCAAAAGAGACTGTGGATGCAGCATCGCTAGACTTGGATATTAGCTTTCAAGTCTCTCCAGTAACATCACCAGCGGCAATATGTACAATGCCTGCAACAAGACCCCCATCACCAAAATTCAACAAGTCCAGCAACCGAACAGTAACGACTCGGGAAACCATGGAAGGACCTGGACCCAAAGTACGAATGACACGGTCTACATTGCTCAGACTCAAGGGAAAGGAAAAGCAGCGACAACAAAAACAGAAACAGAAACATGACGAAACGGCTCTGAAACCAAGAACAAATGGATTCGTCAACAGTAAGCTGCAAACAAGATCTAGAATTCCTCGACAAAAGGATTATCCGAAGCCATGGCTTGTATCGGATGCCAAAAAAGCAACGTCGAGAACGCGAACAGGCCATGCTACGACCCAGCAAGGACCTGATCCTAGCACCACTGGAAAGGAACCGCAAATCAGTCAACTGCCCGGAAGACGAAGTCGTTCCAAACCTGCCGCCAAGACCACACAAGCACCCGGAAAGGTCCGATTGACACGATCTGCCATATTAAAACTACGACAGTCACAAGAAAAGGCTGCAAACCAAGTGACACAACAAGATCTGGATAACCAACGCTTGGGCATTCCACCTGTCAAATTCTTGCAGATTCCCAACTCACCCACCAAGATCGATTTCGAAGATGATGAAATGGAGCACCCGAATGATATTGCGCGAAGAAAGCTACGGGAGCTATTCGATGGCAATTCCAAGCCCAAGGCGCGGTGAAACATACCAGCTCCGATGAATGCTCAATCGTCATCTCTGATTCATTCATCCATCCATCCAACCATCTCAATTTCTTAGTACTAAACTAGTGCATAGAGTAGAACTCTATGTATCAAAGCAATGCCGTAGATGTAACATCCGGAAGTTGCCATTGTACCTCAGGAGGGACCACAAAATGGACGCTACGCTTTTGTTCTTCGTCCAAGGCATTTTCGTGTCTGCTAATATTAGGTTAAATATTTCGCAAAATCTTGGCCCGATGTTTCTCTTTTTACAATAAAAAACGTTTGTGTTAAGTGCAAAGACTGCTCGAACTATCGCAAGACACTATCTTTTCTAATTGAGTGTCGCGAAACCGGCATTTTTCGGGGAGACAGTCATCCGGCACTACTCGGAGCTTCAATTCCTGCATGAGTGAGTTATCCATCTATCGTCACAACCACATACGACCGTGTCATCAGCTGAATCAAATAATCTGAGACTTCTCCGTTGTCAGCACAACAAAGAACTGGTATTCATTATTAGTAATCCCAGTATTGTGTGGTGATTGAAGGCTTACTGAAAATTGTTGGTTGGTTGTTTGAATCGGTTTAGGCTTAAGGATTAGACTTCAGCTGAAACTTCAGACTTAATCAGAAGTGTCCACAGTCTTCAACACTGAATCAACGCACCAACGCAAGAGCATCCATACGATACACATGCTTTAAGGGGGTAATTAGGGGCAAGGAAATTCACAAGGGAGGAATCAAATTGACGCGTGGGTAGTCTGATTGGGGGGTCTTGCTTTTAAGCTCATGAGTGCCATGGTGATGAACTTTTTCGGATCACCCAAGGGGAAGAAGAAAGCAGCAGTGGCCATCGGAGCCGATGAGGCGAGTTTAGACTCCGTTAGTCTGAACGATGGAGTTAAGAGTCCCGGCAATGATGAGGGCAGCGCTGAAATGTACAAATATCCAGACAAATCTGAACGATCTCTGGGGGAGTCTTTTCAAAGCATTGGCGGAACGAGTGGCATTACTGCGAAGCTTCTCAAAGAGGAGAGGCAGCTTCAAAAGATCATTGCCAAGTCGAAGGACAAGCCACTCGATAGAAAGGTTCAGAAGGCTACCGAGAAGCGGCGTGAAGCAATTCTTAAGGAAAAGGTCAATGCCGTGACGGAAATGGAACAAGATGTTATCATTCGTTGCTTGGGTGTTGGATCAGATGGTTACTGCTTGCGCCATCAAGATCAAAAGGTCCGAATGGGGATTGTTCGACCATCGTTTCGGTTCGAAACGATTAGTCTTTGTAAATCGTGTGCGTTTGGGGCTGCGAGTGGAATCGAAGTGAAGAATCATGGACAAAAGGACAAAACCATTTCACATGCTGTCAATGGTGCCTTGGTCGCTACCGGAGTCAAGAAGAAGAAAAAGAAGGTCAAGGGATCCTTTGCAGCGAATATGAATGGTGCCTCTCCAGATAAGCCACGGGTGGATCTAAATGAGAGCTTTAGGTCCGCTCATGGCTATGATGTCAGCGTATCCGAGAACCAGTTCGCTAGTAGCGATGGCTTGCAGGGAATTGGCGAAAATAGTGGTACTCCCAACCACACTTCTGCGCATTCTAGAACTGATCTAGAGCAGGATGCTCGTTGGATGCAAGAGGTTCAAGTGCGAGTGCTGCAGGTGAATAGCTGGGACAACAGTATCGTTCCTTTGAAGTGCCATCCCAATTATGCCAAGTACTTTCGAATGCTGGAATCAGGTAAGCAGTCAGACTGCCTTTTTTTCAATGATACTCCAGCTACCACAATCCTAATGAACTCACTTCCCCATGTTTCTCTCTAGGTGTCCCGAGGGAAGAGATCAAAGAAATGAATGGGGATCATGGACCAGATCTGTTGGTACTTAGCCTTGATCCAGAAAGGTCACTCAATGACCAGATGCCTAGCCTTCCTTCTCATATTCAAAAAAGATTACAGTCCAATCCAGCTTTGATTACCTCCACTTCTGTCGATGATGATGAATCCGAAATTGTCGATCTGATTTATAAATCGTACTTGACGCAACTTCATGTCTTTGAGCATTTTTTGCAAGAAGACGAAGCTGGTATCAAGGCCATGCGGGAGAGCAATGGCGCGAATGAAAGCAGTTCAGAACTTACACCGGCGGCAACTGATGGATCTCCAAAGAAGAAAGTGAAAAAGTTACGTCTAACCAAGCATTTCAAGCGATTCGTCGGTGTGGATGCACACAAGGAGCACGCAACCGATGACGAAGCTTCCGAAGAAGAAAATGCCGACCTTTTGGAACCAAGCAACAGCAATCACATTGAGGAGAGTACAATGGCTCAATATGCTACTGGTCCAGTTTCACTCCAGCCCCTGCCCAGCGCAGGGCTACGGCGGGCACGAAGGCCCACTACAGCCAGTCGGCGTCCCCGAAAACCTGGTATGACTAAGACACCTGATCGTGGCGTTATCCTTGCCCCGAAGAACGCAGAAACCCCCATGAGCCCACTCAGTACCAGTCCCGGTCATGCTGGCCGCAAATCATTTGATCCGAATACAATGGATAGCATCATGTCTACTTCGAGTGCAGACGAACTTTTGGAGGCAAATGGGACCGTAGACGCTGCTCTGACTTCTTCTGCTACAAAAGAACTGCTGGAGCATCCGGTGGTGGTGAAGTCATTTTCTTCTGCGCCATCTGATGAAGATATGGGAGGTCTTCCAACTCAGACAACCCCTGCCGACGAGGAACAAGAGAAAGCTTCTCCTGCTCCACCTCTGGTCATCAAATCTTTTCCTTCAGCAGCGAATACAACTTCAATCGATACCAGCAAGAAAGAAACAGAGGAAGCTTCACCCCCTGTCATGGTCATCAAAACATTCCCGTCCAAGGCAAATGAAGCCCCGGAAAGCTCCTCTGAGGAAGAGAAAAAGGAATCCGCAGTTCCTATGGTGATTTCCTCTTTCCCCTCAGCCAAGAGAGCTTCCAATGCATCTAAGAACAAAGCAGATGAGGAAGAGAAAAAGGAAACTGCAGGTCCTATGGTGATTTCATCTTTCCCTTCAGCCAAGAGAGCCTCCAATGCTTCTAACAAGAAAAAAGATGGAATTGCGATTCCCAAATTGGATGGAGATGGGAAACAAGTCGAGAAACCGCAAGACGAGCAACCGCAAGATACGGAAGAAGAAAAGAAGAAAAAAGAAGAGTTACGAAAAGCAGTTGCAGCAATGCATCAATTCAAACTTGGCAGCTACGACGATTCGTTCGGTAGCATCCCAACCACAGTACTTCCTGAATTTTGCCCCAATACTGGTGAGCCCAGTATTCATAGCCATCTCTCCAGTATCAGCAGTCATTCCAGCGATGCCAGCTCATCGTATGAGAGCGAGAGCGAAAGTGATAGTGACGAAGATGATGGAGATGAGGATGACGGAAACGAGGACGGCGATCAGGAGAAAATTGAACCGTCAGCGTCAGAAGAAGAGTCTGAAAAGGAGACAATTGATATGGATGAATACATTCATCTTTCGGATAAGCTTATTGATGCCAATGCAGAGTTGTTTGAAGCAAAGTATCTTCTCGAGAACTCGCAGAAACGAGAAGAAGCTCTGCTAGGAGCAAATAAAGCAAAGGATCGAAAGATATTAAGACTGTCGGAAACAATCGAAGAAATGCAGGCTCATATCAACGTTCTTAGTGCTCAAAATGCTGAAGCCGGGAAGATTATGATGGAACTTACGGCATCGATCGAAGTCCACAAACGACAGAAACTCTTTCGAAGGATATCAATTGCCTCGTCTACAGGGATATCAATGGCTTCGTTTTCTTCATCCGTCTTGGATCAAGACGATACACCTGCATCCCAACATAAGCGATCTTCCGGTGGTCCACTACGGCGCAAATCTGAAGACACTTTAGGAAGCGAATCACGGCGAAGTAACAGCAAACGCGCTTCTGGTTCTGGGCAGATGCGGCGTACCTCTGGTTCCGGTCACAATCGCTTATCTAGTTTCTCTGCTTCCAATCGCATTGGTTCCATTAATTCCCTTCTTGGCCCCGCAACAGAGGAAGGAGGAGAGGGTTTTGGTGAGAGCAGTACGCCTTTGATGATGTCATTTACAAGTGGTCCAGCGACATCATCTCCAAATGTGAGGGAAGTCCCACCAAGCGCAGCTTCCAACGTGCGGCAAGTTCCACCAAAGGAGGCTCAGAATACATCCGAACCCGCCGCAATCGAGAACTCAGTATTGGAGGATAACATGTTTCCTCCAGCAGCGAATGTGAGAGAAATCACTCCACTCAACCGAAGAAGGGTGAAAGAGGTGTCAATGGAAGAGGGGCAGAAACAAATTCCCGCCACCCCAATTGCTCCATCTTCCGTTCCAGCTCCTGTACCTGCTCCAAGCCAACCTTTAGTCATTCGAAGTTACCAGCCAAGCGAAAGACTAGCCGAAAGAAGGAGAAAGAAGAGAGAATTAGAGGAAAGGCTGAAGATGTCCGTTGCAAAATCACACAGTTCAGATGCGGACGATTCGCATCCTATTTCTACGGAATGAAAGAATAAGCGCGGAGGAATTAGGCGGACTGTACGGCTTGAATACGATCCGAGTTGGACGAATTTCAAGTATGCATAATAGCTTTGACAATTTTTGCATTGTAATCTTTGTCACTTCTAGCTTAGTTTGAAGACTCTATTTCGTAGACTTCTGGCTGCGGTAGCCAGACCGTCGCATTCGTCTCGTAGTTTGTCAATTCGTTCTTGCTCGCTTTCCACAAATCTAGTGTACGGTGCGACTCCATCCATGATCCGTCGGTTGACCTTGTCAAGCTCCTTGGTAAAGATTCCATCCAACGAGTTGCCAAGTCTCTGGGCTCGATTGTCCCAATCCTCTTGGTAACCTTTCGCCAATCGCGAAGTTCCAACAACATAGCATGCGCTTCCTCCCAAGACTAGACTTGATGATAAGGCTATTCCAGTGAACGGATCCAAAAATTCTCCAAGTGTGACCAAGCCTGTCATCACACCTCCAGTTTGTAGAGCTGCGGAAGCCATTGCCAACTGTTGGATGGATGCATAGAGCGAGTCTCGTTCCTCATTAGCATTCTTGTTCTTGTCAAGACGACCACCACCAGCAGCATGTCTTCCTTGAAGTGTCGACTGGACCGCTTCCGCCATGAGCTTGCCCAAATGCTTTCGTGTATCTTCGAATCGTGATGTGGCAGTCACACTACCAATCAGACTTTGATTTTTCATTGTGGGCCGGTTGCCTAGATATTCCACCACCACTTGACCCTGGGCGCGGCCACGAGATGCCACCGAGTCACTATATATTTATATTTAGCATTGACGACAATCTCATTTGAGTCAGCGACGAATTTCAATCAGCTGCAGGTCCATTGAATAATAAACTTACGCAGTTTCATATACTTGCTCCAATAATTCTTCCTTCAAATCATTGGACTTGTGTAGCGATGCCTGTTGCAATTTGGCCTCGTCCCATTCCTTGAGAAATTTTGCGTGTGGCGGTCCAGTCATCGTAGCATTATTCTTGTTCGATGACAGCAATCCCCATGCATAAAATTGAAAAACACTCATGCGAGAAAACAATAGTTCCACAGTCGTTCCTTCTTGTGTTACCGTTTTCACGATTCGTTCCTTGGAAGCATCCAAATCTCGTTGCAATTCCTTTTCCCATCCTTCCAATTGACTCTTGAGGATATTCAAGGTGGACAAATCGGCTTCCAGCTCTTGTTTTTCCTTCTTGAGAGTCTCCAAACATTGGACCATGAGACCTTCGGCCACTCCCAGTGGACTGGTCAATTTGGATCGAATCCGTGTTTGAGTGGTCAACGAGTCTCGCAAGAAGGATTCCAATGCGCCAAAGTTGCTATCCTTCCATATTTGTTCTGCTGAGGACAATAACAATTGGTTAGCAGTACCACCCATGACGTTGCCTTGATTGACGGTGTTGGGTGTAATGCCAGCCGCTTGTAATTTGACCGACAATGCATTCCTAGAACTAACGGGAATGACAATTGGCCTTGCTCCCAACAATTCACTGGCATTGTCTTGGACAAATTCCAAAATCTTGGGCTGACTCTCTTCCGGTAGAATATCCATTTTATTGACAATTACCACAATGCTCTTGCGATAGGATTGGATGCTTTTCAAAAGGGTCCGTTCCGACTCGGAAAAGGGCCGATCGGCCGAGGTGACAAACAAAATCAAATCGGCCGATGGCAACAGTCTCAGAGTTCGTTCGGTATGGTCCATCCAGGTGGAATTGGTACCGGGGGTGTCAATCAATGTCAAGTCTTGCAATAATGGCATGTCTGGAACCAAGTGTAAGGTGACGCCCAACGGTAATTTGGGCGCATCGGTTGCATGGTTTTTATTGTCGGTAATTGATTCTGCGTCGTCGTCTGCGTCTGCTTCATTTTCGTTTGGCATGGATTTATTGGCCGCCACAATGGTAATGGTATCGGTGGTGGGCAGGGCGCCCGATTCCAATAATTCTTGGCCCAGCAATGCATTCAAAAGCGTACTTTTCCCGGCATTGAATTCCCCCGCCAAGACGACCGAAAACGTGGATTGCAATTGGAGCTCCTGCAAGAAATTGAGCGAGGCCGTATTGTGGAGCAAATCCGATACCTCCCGACCACCCACCTGGGCTGCCAACGTTCGAGCGTTTTCGGTAAGCTCTCGTTGCTCCGTCAATATTTGGCGTTCCTTGTAGTTCAATAAACTAAAGAGACCATCCAATACGTGATTCAGAGAAGGCGACGATGCCAATGGCGATGATGACGACGATGACGATGATGGGCCGTCTGATGACGAACTCTTGGATGGATCGAATCTGCTGGATGTCGTGGAATAGCTGGCGACGGAAGATATGTCTTTCATATGCCTTTTCATCCGCGAAACAAGGCGTAGAGAGTGAAGCTGACGTTGACGTTGACGTATTATTCGTGGTAAATGATGATTCGTCGGCTGCTGAGATGAGCCATTATTCAGCGTTCGTATTATTATTGTCCGTCCATTTGCGAGTATGCGATGCCCTCCTCTTCTGCTGAAGCTAGTGTAACAGTAGGGAGAAGCCATTGCTGGGCAGTGCAGTGTGGCAATGCTGAAATAAACAAGACTTGGTATACAGATATACGGTATGCCGGCCTTCAGTGCAGTATTATTATTATTATCATATCGTCGCACGATTACGGGGATATATACATAAAACTACCCTTTTTGGCGGGGAATGAAAAGCAATTGATCCCCGTAAATAAATAAATTACTCAACACCGCGCCCGCTTTGCTGTCCTGGAATATCCCAGCAAGACATTGGATTGCGGTTTGGATTGCGCAAATATCTAAGCAGTCATTTTCTAATGATGGGACACGATCAACTTCACTAAATATTCTTCTCTCAATAAAATCCGCTCTCACATCCAGTCCTATCACGTCGTCCCGCATTCATCGCGGAACCAATAAATCGTCATGCCAAGATCTAAGAAGAACGAGACAGACGAAGAGAATGACAATGAGAATGATAATCCCGACGGCATAGTGCTCGAGGAAGAGGCATCTCCGAATCCGAATCCAAATACAACAACGTCGTCGTCATCATTCTCCTCCAATCCTCGAAGACGCAAATTCATCTTGATTGGGATTGCTGCCTTTGTGATTCTCGCCGCCATCATTGCCACCGTTCTTGTATTGGTAGTCTTCAAGCCAAAACAACCCATTGGATATGAAGAATACCAGGAAGATTTGCTAGCCGCCCTTCGTGGCGACAGAAGTTATTTGGGAGATCAATCGGACGATGATACACCCCAAGGCAAGGCACTGAAATGGTTAAAGTCGGATACTGGTTCCTTGGTGGATGTGACACCCGCGGACGTCATGGTGGAACGATACGCCATGGCAGTCTTTTATTATGCCACGGATGGTCCCAATTGGGAAGAACAGGCTGGATTTTTGACCCAACCCAGTATCTGCGAATGGTGGAATACCAAGGATGAGTATCTTCTCTGTCATCAATCGGTTCTAGTTACCGATCTGAACTTTTTCAACAACTCGCTTGGAGGAACAATTCCTACTGAAATTGGATTGTTCCAAAACCTCTTTTGGTTTCATTTGCGTAAGTATTATATTATTGTTGCACTATATATCTATGAATGAAGGAAGGAAGGAATGCATATTTTGACAATCAATATCTCACCATGTCATCATCGTTGACAGCGTTGAATAATGTGGGTGGAACAATTCCAAGCGAGGTCGGGGCCTTGAAACAACTGACATCTCTCGTACTAGGTATGTATTTATCCGCACATATATGTATATCGTGTCTTTGATTCTCGTTCTGGCCAGCGCCCTATTCAACCCTTTCTCTTTCGAAAACATATATATATATATATATATATATATATATATATATGTATTATTACAGCATCCAACAAGCTGACTGGAAGCATTCCTGCCACCATTGGCAATTTGGTAGAAATGAGAACCTTTGAGCTCGAAAACAATGACATCACTGGCAGTATACCAAACACAATTGGTTCCATGACCCATATGCAGACATTATTCCTTGGTAAGCCAGCAGCTCATCGGAATGCACTCTTCTAACATACTTCCACACCGTCATCTCACATACCACGTATTGCCCTCCATATTATCCACTCTCACTCACTTACTCACTCACTCACTCACTCACTCACTCACTCACTCACTCCTGTCAGGCAATAATAAGGTGTCGGGACCAATTCCATCTGAAATTGGACGTTTGGTCAATGCCTCAGATCTATTCTTGCAGTCCAATGACCTGACTGGAACAATTCCGAGCGAGGTTGGCGACATGACGAGTCTGCAATTTGTCTATTTGCAGAACAATCCAAAATTGACTGGAAGTTTAGAGCCACTGTGTGAGACAGTGGCTTCCAGCAATGCGGTCTTTCGTGCCGAAGTGGACTGTTTGGATGACTTGGTCACCTGCTCGTGTTGTGAGCGATGCTAGAGATGACTTTTGTTTCCTTTCTTATAATAGACTACCAGACAATCAAATAAATGAGCCCAAACTGAAATACCATTACAATCTTTTGTTTCCCCACTGCGCACTTCTACGAAATATCATCGTCCAACAACATGATATAAGTATACGAAACAATATCGTTTCCAAGGTGCCTGCGCCCTCTAGGGTTGTCATCAACATCAAGAATGCCCCCGCTGCATAGCAATGTTTCAAGCGATAAGCCAGAGCGAGAGAAAAATAAATATAATGTAATATCCAGATGAGAGAGCTATTTCCTCCTTACTCCGAGTCTCTTGTTGCGCCACCGAATGTTTGCAATGAGTTCTTGGTGGCTGCTTGGTTTTGCACTTGCCGTACTAATCATTGTAAATGAGCTATATGGTCTTCCTCTCAACATCCAGAAAGTTGATGTACCGGTAGTCATCATACATCACACAGATTTCCCAATATGATAACTCCCTTTGGAAACCGGTACCGTATACACATATATGTAATCTCAAGAACATTTGGCGTGAAATAAGTTCCTCTTCAACCAGATAGTCCAAAAGTCTGGTCGCAAAACTGCGTTCCATGTAAGAATTGATCCCACTATTGAATTGGCAAATTTAGCATTCGCCAAGTTCCCTATCCAAAAAAGTAGCATGATCAGAATTTGGATCGCTCTCATTTTTCGCGACGAACAACGAATCAATGGAAAAAGGTTGAAACATCATATCAAAAACACAAATGTTTGAATCTCCACCACAACTTTGAAAGCCGCCATTTACTATGACCCACATCCGCAAGACTTTACTTGAGCAAAACAATGCTACAGTGGCATTCCTACGATCAAACGACTTCAGGGCTCTCGAATCCTCCATACTTGCATTGAGCTGCTACAATCAAACATTTCCTGACGAAGGGTTAACGGCAAAAGATCAAAGCAGCGGAAGCATGGATGAGTACATGCTTCTCTCTCCTATTACTGACAGAGAGTCTTCCGGTGGAAGCGGTACTACTTTTATCTACAACCACGCCATCATCATTCGGACCACAACAGCAGCAGAGATTGACCCAACGGTTCTGGCTTATATTCTCGTCTTCAATGCCGCCCTAGCTCACCATCAACTGGCCGAGCACAACAGCGTTTGCCATTGCACTCGAATGCATCTATTGACGAGGGCCAAGCAGTTGTACGAGCTGGCATACGAGTCGTGTGATTTGGAACACAATCCATTGTTTCAGTTCGCTCTCATCAACAACATCGCGGTGATCGAGCGAGACATTGGCAATGTGTCTACTGCAGACGATTGCTTCGAGTACCTGCTGACTATTTTCATTGTCTTCGTGGATCAAGGATGCGAGTTGCGACTACAGCGTGTTAGTGGATTTGTGGTCAACGTCCCTTTGGCCATTAAGAATGCCCCTGCTGCGTAGCAATGTCTCGGATGGCATCTTTAAAGCTATAGAATCCCTTTCCGTTCTGACTTGTCTTACGCCTTCCTAACCGAGAAGAGGGAATTCATTTCCTGTTACACGCACACGTGAACATATGTACACAACATTTGCGAAACTGCGTTAACGGTAACTCTCTTGAAATGCTTTGAATTACCGCAAATGGCTCCCTAACATAAAAAAAACATGTAGCATTTATTTAACATACATGATCCCTCCATATGCCATGTTCTTCAAATTTCGGAATTCGGTAACTCGTACGTAAGACGCTTTTTGACAACTTTGCTGGTAGAAAAAGAAATCACACTTTTGCGCCCTTTCATAAATTATTTTAAAGCGTCGCATCATTTGGCAACTATGACTCTCATTGGAAGGACAGCCTTGATTGAGCAAAACGATGCAACAGTTGCATTCCTACAAGCAAACGACTTCTCCAGGGCTCTCGTGTCGTCCATACTTGCATTGAGCTACAGTAGAACATTTCTTGATGAAAGCGAAACCGCAAACGAGCAAAGCAGTGGAAGTTTGGATGAGTGCATGCTTCTCTCTGCCACCGTCAGCGAATCTGGCGATGAAATCAGTGGCACTTTCATCTATGAACACGCCGTCATCATTCCGACAACAGCAGAGGAGATTGACCCAACGATCCTGATCGCTATTCCAATTTTCAATGCGGCCCTAGCTCACCATCAACTGGCAAAGCAAAACTTATTTTGCCATTGGACTCGAATGCATCTTCTGACGAGAGCCAAGCAGTTGTACGAGCTGGCATACAAATCATGTGATTTGGAACATAATCCTTTATTTCACTTCGCTCTCATCAACAACATGGCTGTGATCGAGCGAGACATTGGTAATATGCCTACTGCAAACGAATGTTTTGAGTACCTGCTGACTCTTTTGATTGTTTTCGTGGATCGAGGATGCGAGTTGCGACTGCGGCATGTTAGGGGATTTGTTGCTAACGTCCCTTTGGCCATCAAGAATGCCCCTGCAGCATAACAACACCAACCACGAGAATGAGCTCGCCCAATAAACAGCAGACGACATATTATAAAGTGGGTAATACATATGTTTTGTCGCACTTTGTGTTTGCTTTCGTTCATCGTTTGCAGACCTACTTGTATTGTAATACCACTATCATACAATTTTAGCATTTGTGGCGAAATACTACTACTATGTTAACACTACCGGTCGGTAATTGAGTACATACACGATGTCCCGGTTTGAAACTGACTGACTGAAACGGATCGTCGATTGTGAGGCTGCCATGAAATCAAAACGACGGCATCTAGAGTAGTGGGTATACAAAACGATAACATGTGCCTTCGTGACGCATGACGGTGGGTTTGCACAATCAGTCGTAGTGTACAAAGGCCACACAGTTAATCGAATTGATAGACACTGTGTTGAACTATGTCTTTGTTTAGTTCCCATCTGATGTAACTCGACGACACTCCAGTCTACGAGCAAGCCTTACAACAACTACATATCAAGTCTGGCTTCTTGCAGTCGGCCGCACCATAGAAAAATGGCTTGACATTGCTGCACAGTGGATCCAAATCGCCCGTCAATCGAGGGTTGTCTTGGATATGGAGGCTCTCTAGATTCCGAAGCTTTGAAATGGATTCTGGAATACCCCCCAAAAGATCATTTCGAGCTTTGATGAAAAAGAAAGAATATAAGTTTCATCATGGGATAACATTGTTGAAGTGTGAAAGGTCTGCTTACATAGGTACAAGTCCTCCAAGTTCCGCAAAGACCCTATTCGTGAAGGTATCCCAGTGATGTTGTTCATTGCTGCGTTGGGACGAAGAACCAGCCAACAAATGTTAGAGACAGCGAGTTTGCAAAGAGTAACCGTCGTGCTCATCAACTTACAAAGAAAAATTCCCCTCAGGCTGAACAGCAATCCAATCTCACTTGGTAGTGACCCAGTCAAACCACGATTGACTGTTGGAAGGTGAAAAAAAAACGAGTTGTCAGCACCACAACAATTGCATATCGCTTCAACCACCAATAAAGCTTACATAATCGAAAGCTCGTAACTTGTCCTGCGCCGTTACAAGTCACACCGTCTCCATAATTGCTTCCCCAGTCACATACCGAGGCGTCGCTAAGAAAGGTGGTATTCCGATTCCAGTTGTCTCCATCCGTGGCATAGTAAAATACGGCCATGGCATAACGTTGCAACAACTCAGATGTGCTATTAGTGGTGACATTGGAACCACTATCTTGTGTGGTTAGCCAATCCAAGGCTTTTGTTTGTGGATCCAATGCGTGGTGCCCTGACAGATATCCCGACTTGATGCCATCCCTCAGCGTCACATTCAAATCCCTTTTGTAATCGTCGTAATATGAGTCAAAGGTAGTTTCTGGAGTGGTATCCACCGTCATTTCTTCTTCTCTTGCAATCACAAGTCCAATGATCAATGGCAAAAGCACCATGAAAATGAGGAGTCCGAAAGCGATCCAGGCAGAAAGCTTGCCGCCGCCATCTTGTTGTTTCCGTCCAGCGCGTATCGTTTTTCGGTCGCCCGGTGGACCAATGGATGCCTTCAAAATACAAAGGAATCCAGTATTGGACTGTCTCCCACGCAATTCTTTGGTTAACATGAAGGCTTGAGCTCGATCGGAATTGCCTCGGATAGAAATTCTTTGTTGCATCTCTTTGACGGAAGTGACAACTGATCCCATTTCGTCATGTTTTCCGTTCTTGTCGTAGTCGTATACGGTGATCTTGAGAGGCCAGTCCAAGTCCCCGAAACACAGCTCTGGTAAGCCTAATCGCGCATCTTTCCACATTGGATTAAGATGATTCGTGATATGTTCGGATCTATAGACTGCGTTCCAATCTTCGATATCGCTATCTGATGAATCTGGATGCTTTTTGGATATTTCATAGAATGGGTCAGATCGACCCAATCCAAAAGGTCCAGGTTCTTTGTTGTTCATATCAAGGCCGCGTATATGAAAGATGAGATCTCCTTTTTCGGTCCCCATCATGCATTTGTCAAGTCGACACATCAGTCTACTGGAGAAGAAGAGAGTACTGAAATAAGTTTCCAAGTAAAACCAATAGGGCATGTTTCTCGATATGGAACTTACACATTCGAGAGGCTACCGGAGAGTGGAACCTCAATTCCTTTTCGTTTTGCGACTTCTTCAATCCTGATCCTAGACCCTCCAATTTTGTAAGCGGTAGATCCATTGTTGAAATCGTATATGCTAATCTCCACAACCGTTCCGTCGCCGGGAACAAAATCTAGAAAGAAAGTCTTGCACCAATCTGGAGTAGAAGAGCGGGGGATGCATTCCGTTTCGCCAAGGTCGGTCCCGCGATAAGATCCTTCAATAATCTTGACGGAAGCATAAGACGATGACACCTTGAAACGTGACAGAAACTGTGCGCTCAACGACAGCTGATAAGCCCCCAGCATGTTGTCTTGGACTTCTATCTGGCCATCAGTATCGTCCACCGTAATGGTACCATTCATGGTTATTCGACCCATTGTATATTTGGCTGATGCGCAGCTGAGCTATGTTATTGTTGAGATTCTGACGAAACCGAGAGACATTAAAAACCTGCCGCTAATATTTTTGATGTGACGATGGCACATACCGGTATAATATATGTATGCATGCGGGATGATCAGAGATGACCAGAATATTCAGACGAAATACTGAAGGTCACGCACGTGCGTGTGGTCGACTTGGTTGACTAATTATAGTCTTCTGAGTCAATTTCTATGCCTTCTTCTCTGCGACCAACATACGAATTCTCGTCGAACTTCTCGTATCAAAATTTTTCTGTTGAACGTTTCTGTTAGATTTTTTCCTTGGTTCGCCATTTTATTGAGGTCGTTGTAAACACAATTTTGGCACAACTCCAACTGATGTTAAATGTTAAATATAAGACCCATAAGTAAACTGAGTCCACAAGACACCGTTGTTGTTTCTCATTTTTTCTTCCCAAAAATCGAAGACTCCATAAAATATACCGGTAGAAGATACCGATGGAAACAAGCTCTCAAGCCTCCACCAGAAACGACCATGAAAACACGATTAGAAATCGAAGACAGGATATCTTCTCCATATGCCAATCCAGAGTCATATCTATTGAAGAGAAGAAGTGCCAATCGAGCAAAAAGAAGGAGAGAAATATTGGACTTTGTTGATGCTGCTCTATATCCAGAACAAGCCTCTCGGAAGTCATCGCTCTTGAATGATTGGATTGACGATACGGATACAGAAGAGATTATTCAAACAAGTCAAGGATCCATCTTCTTTTCGAACAGCGCCGAGAAGCAAGAGCAAACCCACCTTGTTTATCCCGTCAGCGACAACGACCATGAGGAGCCAGACGAGAAACTGCCGGACGAACATGATACAAACTACGTCTATGAAGAAGAAGGAGAAGAAGACGATGATGATGGAGCATGGATGTCGTCTAGATATGTTATGCCTAAGTCTCATCGAGCAAAAAGTGCCGAGAAGCAAGAACAAACCCACGTTGTTGATTCCGTCAGCGACAACGACCACGAGGAGCCAGACGAGAAACTGCCGGACGAACATGATAAAAACTACGTCTATGAAGAAGAAGGAGAAGAGGACGATGATGATGGAACATGGATGTTGTCTAGATATGTTATGCCTAAGTCTCATCGAGCAAAAAGAAGGAGAGAAATATTGTACCACGTCGATGCTGCTCTTCATCCAGAAAAAGCCTCTCGAGAGGCGTTACTGCTGAATCATAGAAGAGACGAAATGGATATTCGAAGATCCAGTCAAGTCTCTTCCATAAATATGGCGGGCATCATCTGTGACAACTACGCTGCGAAGGAAGAAGACATCTTCGCATCCATCAGCGATGACAACCACGAGCCAGGGGAGAAAAGTCCAGAAGATGAACACGATACAAACTTCGACTGTGAAGGAGATGACGACGAAGAGTCAATATTGTATGAAGAGAGCGAACCTTCTATGTACGATGAGAATATCGTGTTCGAGCAGGAACAAGACGTTTCGAGCAGCTCTTTTCTTGACGACGACGCTGATGATTTTTTGTACATCATCAGCGGTTCTTGCGAAGAAGAAGAACTCTTCTTCCGTGTAGAAGAAGACATCATCTACGAGTCAGAAGACGATCTTGAAGAGATCATTCTTGCACAAGACCCACTCGAAACGATCGTCGAAACCGGGGAAGAAGAGAGTGATCAAGAAAGCACAGGGTTCGATGAAGCTGTGGACGACGTCGAAACCTCCGATCTACTAGTTACAATTGTTGAAGAAGACATTGAAAGAGACGATGACTTTTTCCAAGAGCGTATCCTTTACGAAAGTGACTTGCAATCCATCCTCAAACCTGAGACCAAGGACGAACCTGGTGGTACTGAGAGAATTAGCTTCGTGACCGCTTGCGAAACGTTGGAAGCGGATGAAATCTCTGTGGAATATTCAATTGAAGAGATTATACTTTTCGATGATGAAGATCCTAGCTATTCTGCAGCTCGGACTTTCATTCACGAGACCATCGAATACGAAGCTTCTGAAAGCTCCATCGACGAGTTTTGGCAAGAACCAGAGCAACCTGAGTCGCCACAAGACTGTTCGAATTCCTCTTTCTGGCTATCAGCAAATGGAACATTTGGGCATGGAATTTCTGAGCTCTCAATTGATGTAAATGGGGAAGAAATATTATGCCAACCTGATGTCAGTAAGATTGGAGATAAGGCTATTGAGCATAGACCCTCTGAAGCGTCTTTCGAGGAAACGAATCCAGTCTATGATAGTGGAAATGGGGCAAAGGAACCACTGACTGGGAGTGACGATGGAAATATTACTGACAAGACAGACGATGACATTATGTGGTCTGATAGCGAGTCGTGTGGCTGGGACACCTATTCTCAAGCTGATTTGCTGGCAGAATATGAAGAAGATGCCCGCTTCCAATTTCCGGTGCCTCAGATTCCAGTTCTTAAGCTTTGGCAGCACAACCACCGGAATACTCAGATCCAGACTGTTAACCAAGAGGTGGAGGAGAACGGATACTGCAAAAGCATTGACGCCCTGGAGGCTGCAACGAGAACACCAAGGAATATCCTCATTGCTATTCTGGCGCAAGGGGATTTGCAATTCAAGCTTCGCAAGGTCCCAGTGGAACACAAGAACGAGTACAAGCCCATTGCACAGTCGGCGTCAAGTATAGGACGGCTCACCCGATTGCAAGAGCAAGTGATCGAAAGTATTTCCTTGGATGACAATTCGTCCTCTCAAGAAGCAGAACAATTTGTTCCTCGAAAGTCACCGCTGGCAAACACTCGATCCTCTGGACAGCGCCTTTCGATCGAAGCGGCAGCACTGGGGAAAATAGTGAGGCGCCAAGAAGAGTACTTCACCAACTGGGACGAAGAGGAAGAAGGCAACGAGAGTCTGACCAACGAAACCGTCTTTTCCAAGAACACGGACGTATTCGAACGCCGCATTAGCATAGACGATGCACGAGATGATCGTGGTATGCTTGTGCAGCGTACTAGTCTTCTCATTCATCATCACGTCAGAGACTCACGAATCGCAAATATGGAAAAAGACTGGGCGATGGAGGAGTTCTTGGAAGATGAAGAAAAATACTCCAATAACAATCATGAGCTCGACCTTCCAAAAATGAGTCTACCCAAGTTCCAACTACCAAAGTCCGAGCGACGACTGTCGAGAGAGGAGATGATCGAGTCCCTCGCCAAAGGAGTCGCCGAAAAATCATGGGAACGAAAATATCGCTTGGAACGTCCCGGTGCTCAGCTTCGAATGCATACGGGATGCACCTGTGTCTATTGTTGCAAGAACAAACCAAGTCAATCGCAAACACATCAGCATTGCTATAATGTTGTTACGTCTTGTACTGGAAATGGTATGGAAGAGGAACGAACCCCTCCATCGCCTCTTGAGCAAGATTCAAAACCAAAGGTTGCGCTCGACTGGAGTTGCGCTTTCAATGGTTTCAGTTGAGTAGGATGTTGTGTGTTCTTCACTGGGCGGGGAAGTCTGTAGCATGAATCATGTTGGGAACAATATGATTCGATATATGTAAATAAAACGTCGTTTGATCACAAATTATTCGCCGTCAGTGCACTTTGTAGATCGTCCTCCTTTTGTCGCAAAAAGTCCTTGCCGTAGGTAGCCATGGATTCGCATGTGCGCTTGCATTCATCAAAGAGATTGGCAGGCGGCAATAGAGAATCGTGAGGAAGAGGGTGTACTTTCATTTTGGAAATCATGATGCAATCTTGAGTCCCATCCGCAGGGAGATCATCTGGAAGTACCTCTCCATCGTGTGTGAATTGCTTGCCTTGCCCAATCTTGAGCATGCCGCTAACGGATTCCATCAAATCTCTTATATTGGGAGGTCGTAATCCCCGCATATGCTGACCAACAAGTACACAAGGTGTCACACTGTTTTTATCTTCTGGATTTTCTAATTCCTTGTCCAATCGCAACAAGGACACTCCAGGTCGATACGCAAAGCGGAACCACTCCGGCCAACCCACTGGAAATTCAAAGTTGTTGTACTGTAGCTTGTCTCCCACAAAGTCAAATCGATCCGGATCCCAGGGAAATAAATCACATACAAATCCCGCCGATTGGCTGTTGCGAGAAAAGGTAAACGTCCCATCAGGCCAATACGTATGAACTTCGGTGGGTGCACCGTCGGCAGCAAATGGTGTATAGAATTGTCCATCTAACCATTCGGGCTGGCGTCGGATTAGCTTCAGGTTGGGCAGCTGCTCCCGCAAGAAAATAGTCCCCGCATAGGACGTATTTCGGCAAAACGTAATGGTCAAAGAGGAAAAGTTCTGACGTCTGGGTTCTCCTCCATTTTCGGCAATTCGTCGGAGTCCATCATCCGTGACACCCATCGATCCTTCCATGGACAAAGCTTTTAGATTAGGCAGCAGAGCGTAGTTACTGAGAAACTCCAAGAATGAATCTGCCCCATAGTGATGCAAATTCAAGCATTGCAGATTTTCCAGTCGAAGAAATACGTGATGCACGTTTCTTGCCAGAAAGACGTCCCCCATCATGCCCCATCGTTGACCCATTTCTGACTCTGCCTCTGTGTACTGTAGAAGCGCATCGGCGTCCTGTTGGTCACAAATGCTCAAAGTCTTGATGGACTTTTCCAGCTCTGGAAGCATGAGCCAACAGTCTTTGCCGAATAAGGTCATTGCGACACGTTGTTGCCTGACGGAACCTACAAAGCCAAATATTTCCTCGAGAATCGCTAGGGGCAGTGATGCCATCGTTTGGTTGATGCTTGTAGTCAGCATGGTTGAATCTGCATTTAACAACTAGGTTCTGAAGCGGGTATGCTACTGGCACTGATGACGATGATGAAGCTGATGATGAATATGAATATTACGGTATATGATATGCGAATGTTTGGTCGTGTCATATATTCTTTTGCAGAACATCTCCGTTTTTCCTTTCTCCATTTCCTAATATGGCGCCAACAGACAATGGCCTGCGCGAGAGCATTATCAAAATAAATAAATTTGGCCAAACCGTCGCGGCTCGTGAATCGCCAGAACGCCACTTTTTCTCACAAGTTGTGATTTGAACCACTACTGTACGAAACCAACGAACATCCATTCCATTACTATACCGACCAGTAACCCGCAACGTCATGAAGGAGTACAGAAACAAAATAGTAGTACTAGCGTCTTCATTCACCATTGACGATGAACAGAATGTAGAACAAACACAAGCAATCAGTCTATTGACTACTCGGACGATTCCCTTTGAGGTCGTCGATGCCTTTGATCCGACCATGATGAAACGGTACGAATCAATCAATCGATCGATCATTGATTGATTTATTCCGCTTCGTATTCTTACAGCTCCCCTTACCTGATTCATCTAGACGTACCCAGTTACAAAAATTAATGCCCGACTCGGCACAGTATCCACAATTCTTTGTTGTTGACGACAACGAAGTCACATCCTACGTCGGAGAACTTGGACGACTACAGGACATTGACGAAGACAGTGGGCTTTCCGATTCCGTCATTGGGGCCCATCCATTAATCATGACATGGGAGAGACTACTCGGAGCCGGATACAGGAACAAGCTACTGCTACTTATTTCGACCATGAAAGTGTGTCGAAAACAACACCATCGCCAAGATCGTGCCATGCAAATTCTGCGAGCCAAACGAATTCCATTTGACACTGTCGATGCTGCGGATCAAACTTTGATTGAAAGGTATGTAGATACTGACTGGACCTGTGACATTGTGACATTCCAAACTCCTTTGTTCCATGATATCATTCTAAAATCTTGATGAATTACCATTCGTTTTGTTTTTCTTTTTACAGACGAAATGAATTGTTCGAAATCAGTGGCATTCGTGGACAATATCCTCAATTTTTCTTGACAGAAAAGACTGGGGAAACACATTATATTGGAGATTGGGATACAATAGAAAATATCAATGATACAAGTGGACTGCCACAAGCATTGATCGAAACCAATCCGGGTGCAGTGACTTGGGATCGACTCTTGAATGCAGGAGTTGCAATGTAGAAAGTGCAAGCGCAGCTGACAGATTCTTGGGGAAGGGATAGTGTCCGATTCATTCATTCAGGCATACCATTGTATAACAGTGTCAACATGTACAAGTATAACGAGAGCATTTGAAGTTCGCAGATCGTGCTGTGGACGTTTCCATCTTGGTTCCGCATTCTTCTTCATTTTCATGCGGTGCTGCGATTCGTTGGTTGTTTTGATTTCTCATCACTGGACGACATGTATATTGCTGTTGCGCCCGAGTTGGAAATAGAACAACATATCAAATGCAAAATATAAATCATATCATTATCAGTCTATTTCGAATCAAAAGAGTAGTACTCTTTACTGTGACAAGAAGAAGAATCAAGTTCCTCTCGTAGCAGAATAGGAGACGCAACAGCTTCTGCTGGGTACATATGTAACGTACTTACATAGATGCTGGTGTCAGCGATGACTGCGGCAGGAGGTACTATATGCTGGCAGTGCTTTTCTTGGGGGGTTTTACCGTACTCGGATTGGTGAAACTAGGTTTCCGGTCTTACGCAGCCATCTAATATATATATTGAATATAGTAGCATCTCCAAATTGGCGACGAGGCATTGTACTATAGGTAGTAAAGATCACTGTTCGACTCGGCGAATCAACTAGGACAGTACTATCGAGCCTCCCACCCAGGCATCGTAGTGAAGAACGGTTCATTCTTGTACTCGTCACCATGCATTTGCCTAGTACTAATACACTAGCCAACCTGCTATTGATTCATTCATTAGAGTCATTGATTCATTCATTATTAGTTGGCTCATTCATTATTGTTTCATTCATTCATTTACCGCTTATTAGCTAGTATGTGTGATATACCAGTATATCATAACAGCAAATACCAACAATGGGCTTACAGTACTCTAGACTACTATATAAGAAAAGCGGCTCATGTTGTTGTATGTTGCATCTGTTGATATTTATATCTTTTTATTATTTGATCTTTGAATTGTTTTCCATGCAAAGTTGTGTTTTTATTCATGCATACATGATTTTGTGTTTGGTTGCATTGATGCATAATATTGATTCAAGTTGTTGTTTTGAATTTTCTTTCATTCAAAGAATCATTATATTGTATGGTGTTCATTTTATTGATGCGTTCGAGGGACAATGACCTCTTCTGTTTCATTTTTGGTTGTCATATTTTTTTCTTCTTTCATTTTGACTTTTGCATCTCTTGATGCATATATCCAATAGTAGTGTAGATGTACTGAATTGTGTACATACTACGGCATGCCTTCTACATACTCTTTTGAGACTTTTTTCACCCAAAAAGAAGCATTGAAGTACATACTGACTTACGCGATTCTTGGACCACAACAGCTCGAACTTAGAGCTGAAGCAGGATCAACGGTAGCGGTCGAAGGACGTGAGCTCTCTTTTGATTTCGTTCAGCCTTGTTGGAAGGATCAGTGGAATAATCCTTCAGGGGAATACTATTTGGAAATAGCCCGTAACCACGCAAGGATCTTTCGTCGAAGCATCCTCCTCGTCTCCAGATGTTCGAGACATTGTCAGTTGCGAGTGCAATAGTGTTGGCCAACATTTTCTGACAAGTCAAGAGCACTGAAAAGAAGAAGATAGTTTCGAGAAAGGTCGTATGTCTGGAAGCGGGTTACGGGTTGGCGATCTCTTTGGAAGATCTATGGACCATCGAGTTCCATTTCATCAGTATCGACTTGCATCCAGTCAATTTCAGGTAGATCGATTTCCATTTCATCAATATCAACTTGCATCCAATCGATTTCCGGTAGATCAATGTCCATTTCGTCTTGGTCAACTTCCATCGCATTGCAGTCGATGGAAAGTCCGGAGAATCGTTTAGCAAGCTCGGTTACAGAAGCATTGCCTGTGGCGAGTTCCAAAGAAGGATGGAGCGAAAGGTAAGTCGCCATCATTTCAGCTTCAATTTCGTCTCCAGCAGCATTCAGACAATCAGATTGCGGCATGACATCTTGTGTTGCTGGTTGTGAGAAAGCCAAAGGTGCTGGATCAGACAAATCGAGGACGATCTGATTTGGCTCGTTCTTGGTGGTGGCGGTGGTGGTGGTGGTTTGCGATGACAACCCCATTGTTTCGTCGTTTTCTTCCTCCATTTTCGCTTTGGTTTCATTGCAGTTAAGGGAAAGATCAGAGAATAGTTTCATAAGCTCCTCCATGTCGTCTTGGTTTTGCTCGACAGTGACGTGACGGTCGTCCTTCATAAGGTTTCCACGTTGTTGCTTGGTTGCAAAGAAGGTGTTCATGTTTGATTATGATGTTTGGTGTTTGGTGTTATATGCGAAGCGAAGAATAAGATTGCACAAAAAGCTCGGCGCTTTGTTTTTATGAGCTTTTGGAGTGTGAAAGTCAAAGTGGCCAGAGTGCATGTTTGCATATCGTTTGCATCAACATCGTGGAATTATCCAAAAAAATGAACACGGTACACGCTGGCGAAACGAAACGACATTTTCAGATTTTCATTTCGCTAGCTGGAATTTCTTTTCAAGCAGCCGGTTGTGTTGTTCTTTACAGTAGGCCTTTGAAGGCGGCGAGGCCTCCATATGATGAATGGGATTCACTTCAAAAGCTTCATCATCATCATCATCATCATCATTGTAATATGCGGATGTCTCAGTGCGGTTTGTAGTCGTGTGGTCGAGTAACATTGAATCTACTGTTCGAAAGTCCGAAGTTCAAAATGCAGTAATCGGACACTTCCTTCGTCCATCCTTCAACAGAAAAGACAATAAAATAACGCAGTAATAACATCCAACTACAATATAAACAGGTAGATTGACGGCAATCATAGACAACCGATTCATCTAGAAGCTGACATTACAACGCCTTACAGGTGTTCCACAACGCCCAACAACAATAGCTACCAACACCATTTTGAAATTCACCCAGCAACTACAGAACAATGGCGACTCGATTTCTACCATTGGAATCATTGGTTGGCAAAGCCATTGGATCCCACCAAATGTGGATCTTATTGCTGGGGGCGAAAGAGGTTGTTGGGACCTTGAGGGGCTTTGATGATCATGTACGTATCTCAATGATTATTTTTCATTAATTGGTTGTCGTCAATTTCCATTATTAGAAGAAGAATTAAGTCTCTCCCTCTCGTAGCAGAAGAGGAGACGCAACGGCTTCTGGGTACATATAAGGATGCATACAACCAGGTCACTCAATGAAATGCCACTATTTCGCCCTGTCGTAAGCCAAATCCATCTAAAGGAAGGCGTATTCACACCAAGCAAAACAAGCTATCAACACTTAACCTATTTGCCAAAATGGACTATTGTAGTTTTATATTAGGTTACCACAACCAAAGGCAATCCGAACCAAATCCGTCGGCGGTTTCTCATTGGGAAATTGACGTGGTTTGGATTGATTGGCCATATGCTCGCAAGCTACCAACACATAATGGCGGGGATTCGGTACCTTTTCTCCGTTATATACAGTTAATATTCAATCCTTCGCATCGAACATATCACCTCGGCACTATTATCTTCACCTGTACCGGTACCGGTTCCAGGTACCACACACGATCGAGATTGTTTTATTCAATATTACAATATATTGCGCTCTGCTTCATCATCAAAGGTTTTAAGTCTAGGTCATCAAAGGGAAATGAAATCAAGATAACCCAGCAAAAGAAGCCAGCATAGCTAAATAAAAATAGAATGAGTACGGTAACAAGAAGTTACAGAGACAGCGAATGCGGGTGCTTTCAATCTAAAGACAAAAGCAGGGTTGGTGCCAAGTCTCCAGTGAGATTGGATGACAACGAGTTGGACAAACTCATTGTACAAGGCATGAACAGTCTCAGCTTCAACGAGCTGCAAACGAAACAAGAAGAACTTCATGGGGTGTCAGCTGATAAGTTGGAGAAAGCTGCTGATGTAGAAAATATGCTGATTGATGTGGAAAAGTATTTACAACAGATTAAGACGGGAACTCCTTATGAAGTTGCTGAAAAAATGAATCAAGATTACGTTCGAAACCGTGACTTCCAAACGCAGTTCCTCAGGGCCAATGAATATGACACAAAGGCAACCGCGGAGCAACTTATTCGACATTTTGAAATGAAAGCGACTCTTTTTTCAAAGGATACGCTCGCAAGAGACATAGTTCTAAGTGATTTGAACGACGATGACATTGCTTGCTTGCTGAGGGGAAGCTTCCAAGTTACAGCATTCAAGGACCGGAGTAATCGAAAGATCATGGTCCAACTGCCGGGCCTAAGAGAGTACACGACAATTGAAAATGAGATGAGGTCAATATTCTACCAGTACATGCATATACTTAACTCGTTGGACTACACCAGTAGAGGCTGCATTTTTATATACTATGCCGTGGGAGAATTTCGAGAGAAAAAGAATGGCCAGGATATATTGAAGTATGTTGCCGTTGGACAAGTAAGTGACAAACCATTAGATATATGTATTGTGGCCAAGGTGGATGATTGATGATGGATGATTTCTAGCGCTGACTCCTTCGTTCTTCTTTTTCGTTTTCAGGCAGTACCGTTATACGTGGCTGGTTTCCATCTGTGTTACCTCTCTCCGAGTTCGGCCTTACTTAGCAAAGCTGGAATTGCAGTGTTGCCGGCGAAAGATAAGGCCAGGATGAAGGTAAGCATAGCAATCTTTCGCTATTGCCAATTTGGCTTTCCACGCTTTCGCATCTCATCCCGTGCCCTCAGGTTCATGTAGGATCTCATTGGGAATGCTTGTATAGGCTCTCTACCTACGGGATATCACAGCATGCCTTACCCATATCCTTTTCCACCGAGGAGGTGCTCTTGGAGCATCAATTGGCGTGGTACAACGACTGTCTTCGAAAGGAGAATTTTTCTAATGGTTCAACCCAGAGCCTGCCGACACCAAATGAAAATGATGTCTTGTGTCTTGGTAGAAAAGTCAATGGCGTCGGAAATGACCGTCTACTGGCGATGGCATCCCAGCATGCCGACTGGTACAATACTGGGAATTCACGCGAACGTCGGATTCTAGTCGATCTTATCATGGAAAATATTCGCAAGAAAGGTGGAAGATTCTTAAAACCAGACGAGAATCACAGTCATCATTGGCTTGAAGTGTCGGTTGACGAAGCTCGCAGCAAAATTGCTCAACTCTTCCGAAATCTAAAGAAGCGTGCTCGTTCGACTGCGAACGCTTCCCCCACACCCACAAGATCAGAACCGGATGATAGTGCTCGCATCGTAACTGCAGTGGTGGACGAAGATGTATTATTCGGTCGAATGTACGAACATGCAGGAAATGAAAGGCTCCGTCATACTGTGGAAGGCATGGCGGCGGAATACAATTCCTCGACTCGGGGAAGAAAGAAGCAAATTGCCGACTCGTTGGTCCAAGAGGTGAAGAGTCGAGGGGGCCGGTTTCTAAAACCGGTCGAAGGTGGGAGATGGTTGGAAGTTTCCGACAAGATGGCGGAAACAAAGGTATCAGCACGCTTTCGAAATTTTCGTCGGAAGACTTCTGGTGATGACAAAACGACATCATAAGGTTCATTTATGGTTTTGGAATGCCTTGCTTTATTTGTATCGCAAAACGTATAGCGCCCCTTAGAGAAATAGCATTGTAAACTAGCAAGTCGATTGAGTACAAACAAAATCAGCGCATCTCTTTGAGCAGATTTTAATCATTTCTGTTGATACCTGTGCCATCCTGAAGGCTATATCATTTGATTCTATACGGATACGCAAATAGATTTTCTAATCGACATTTTCTAGCTGAATCCCAACAAAAACTTGACAGAGAAGCCTCCAGCTTCTAGCAATCCGTCTCCTGAAATGAAAAGATAGTAAGAATTTCCTGATTCGAAAGCCAAAGTCACACTTCTGGAGGAGTTTGGTTCCAAGAACTATAGTGATGGTACAAATCAGGTTACTTCATGGATCTCCGGATGATTCAAACACCGATAGCCTTGCAGAAAACTCTTGCCCAGTAACTTCCACAGTAACAGCATAACCTGGTGCAGCTGAGCCAGAGAGTAGCTTGAACCAAGTGTCTCGGTCTTCCCGTCTCACTTTCACAATCGATATTAGAGTATGACGGAACGAGTGCTGAACTGTTTCCTTCCACAGTGGTGCCAAGCGAACCCACTGTGCTAGCTTCTGTAGCACCTTCGCGAAAGGAGTTGGCTGGAGCTACAGGTGCAGCAAAAGCAATCCGAAATGGCCCAGCTTGGTCATATCAGCGTCCAGACAGGAAAATGAAGTAATCGAGGCCAGACTTGGCATGGAATCCCACAATGCGATCGGCTCCAGCAACTTTCATTCTATCAGAAGCGGGGGTATACTTGTGCCAGAGTCCCCGCACGCTGTCCGTGACAAGGCAAGCGTTGAAAGAAAAGCGCAGAAGAGAGAAAGCGTATTTCCCTCCACACTTTCAACATCATCAGAAACGTTCGAGCTCACAAGGACAACTGCATTGGAGCGCTATGTATTCGCTGGTGGCTCTGATGAAGTAAAGCGGAGATTGAAAGTGCCAACTTCCTCAAAAGAAGATCCTGAAACAAGAAAAAATAGTTCTCTGCCCGGCGAGGTACTGAACTCCATCACTCGATCGGACCCCACGCTGATTCCACTTTGTCCCAGACACTCAAGTGAAATCAAGACATCGGCCGCATATCTGCCTACGTACATCGACAGTCTCTTGCCGAATGATGCAGACAAAGTAACGGTCGTGATGGAATCAACGGTTGCAGTGTATTTATACCACAGCCCGCGATCTGTCTCTTGCACCAAACAATCGTCTGAAGAGAAAGAAGGAACAGCAAATTGGGTGGTATCCTCGATAATAGTCGGGTTATTGTAGCCACTGGTAACTTCCGTGGCCCCCGTGAAGTACGAGTTTTCTGGTGGTAAACTCTCGACAATTTGGATTCGGTAATTGCCAACATTCTGAAGCCTATTCGACGCTACCAACATGTAATATGTTTTCCCTGGCTTTCCGTGAAAGACCAATGCTCTTGGTGTAACGCTCGCTGAAGTGAAGTCGCCACATGTCAGATTTTCGCAGGATAATCCAGTGAAGTAAGCAATCCTAGTGCTTTTGTCTTGAATAGAAACAATCATCGTGATGATGGCATCCTCTGTTGGGACATACTTGTACCAAGTCCCACGATCATCCGAATCAATCCTACATTCATCATTAGACATAGTTGGGACTGTGAAAAAGGAAGAATCACTCTGTGCGAAAGGAAAGCTATTGCTCACATCAACAGCACCATCACAATAGGAGAAAGCAGGAGGCTCTGGTGCGTCAAGCGTTAGTTGCAGGCTTCCTTCTTGACCGATTCCGTTCCCCCCCACGAACAAATAATATTCCTTTCCGGTTTCTGCATAGAATCTCAAGATACGGTCTGAGACAGATGTCGACGTAGTCACATCTCCACATACTGGGAAGAAGCAAGGTCCTGTAAAGTAAGCCAGCTTGGCGCTGAAATTTTGTTCCGATGCTGTCACTGTGACCGTAGCTTCGTATGTTGGTACGAATTTGAACCAGACTCCCCGGTCGCCGTCTCGAACATTGCATTGTAAGTCTATAAATCTGTCCATACCAGATAAGGTGGAAATAGCTTTCAAGAATCCAGGCGTAATGATCGATGCACCTCTACAATCCTCTGAAGGACTCGTAGGAAGTGTTGGTGGTGGAGTCGGCTGTAGTGTTGGCGGCGGATTTGTTGGGATAGGAGTTGGTGGTGGTGTAGGATTTTCAGTTGGCTGCAATGGTTGGGCTGGTGTCGTGGTCGGTGCCCTTGCTGGTGGAAAAGATCCATCAGAAACACTTGATTGAAATTCAAACAGAAAGGTACCAGTCTGCTCCAAGCCATTTCCGGCTACGAACACAAAATAGGTATCCCCACTCTCCACCGCCAATTCATAAGATCGAGGTGCCTCGCTGGTTGAGAAAGTCTGACCAACACACTGCAAGTTCTCGCAAGAAGATCCGATATAAACGGACATTTTGGCAGCAAAGGTCTGGTTGGAAACGGTAAAGAGTGCAGTGAAGGGATCTTCTTCGTTCGAGACATCCAAAAGGAACCAAATCCCTCGATCCACAACATCTACATTGCACGCTTCATTGGCATAAGTAGCTGTGACAGCACCGTTCGTCACGAAGGCTTGGTAGCCCGAAGAAAACATTGGAATCGCTTTGACACAATCTCCAGATAGGCCGTCGGGTAAAAATGTTGGTGTCGCCACCATATCCCCTTGCGACGGGGAAGTGGATGGTGCTTGTTCCAACACCGGAGCCAGCGTTGGTGGTTCTATATGCGGATCATCCCCAGCCTCAGCAGATGCCGCAGTAGGACTCGCATCATCCCCTCCTCCAGACAGAGTCACCCCCAACACAATCACAATAATTAATGCGACAAGTCCAACGCCAGCATACATAATCTTTTTGTTGAAGCCTTGCTCCTCATTGTTGTCACTGCTGCTCTTATTTGGTCCTTCAGAGTCATCTTGAATGCTTTCTTCATTGTTGGTCTCTGGTGGTGCTGGTGCTGGTGGCGCCGTTCCTGCTTCCATCACGGCGGCAGCGACCATTTGTTCGTCACGTTGTCGCAAGGCATCTTGGACAGCCCTTTGAATCGCCGCGTCCATATCGGGAGCCACTTCAGCCTCTAACAAACTGGCGGAAGGCAATATTTGTGAATTTGGATTCTCAATGTCGGGAGATATTGTATTATTGTCGTTGCTGCTTCTCAACTGCACGGCAACTGCTCCTGGTCCGATAATTTCCTCGTCTTCGTTTGAATCAGCGGTATTCCTATTATCGCCATTCCTTTCACCCGAACAAGCTCGTTGTTGATCTTTTGTCTTTTTCTGTCGTGATGCTCTGGTAGTGCCAGATGGCAATGGATGAGTTCTTCTTTCGGAAGAATAAGCTTGGACAGTAGTATCATCATTGACATTTCGCCGTGGCGGTTTCAGTTCACGCTGATTTGTGGACGTCGTCACAGAACCTGGTGCAAGACTCAGTTTGGATTCTTTGCTCTTATTGCCAGTTTCAGGCGGAGGTGGGGTCATGAGCATCTGATTTATTGGTGGTGTTGGAGTTGTCAGCATCTGATTGTTTGATGTCGTCTTCTCTGGACTATTTGCACTTTGATCTTCTTTCTTCTTCAAGTCATCCATGCTAGATCGAGAATCGGCCGTAGGAGGAATAAGGTCTGGGCCCATGTGAAGAAAGATTCTGATGAGGCTTTGTTGATGACGATGATCTCAGATTTAGGCGAAAATAACCGATGATGGCAAGCGTTAACTAATATTAATAGTCTTCAGTCGGAACCCTCTCTTCGAGGCCACCAATAGCTATCTGAGTATTCAGCAACCACTGATGGAACAATATGAGCAATATATTATAAGCTTCGTCCCAATCAAACGATGAAGCACTCTACTGCTGTTGCCGGAACTGAAACAGTCACACTATATTTAAGACCGAAACAGGATTTTAACGAGAACTAGGTAGTTTAGGAGTCACCCGAACCGTCTGGCCTTTCCCAGTCAATCTCCATTTCCCGCCGAGATTCAAAACGTCACGCCGGCATACCCGCTCGCCGGCCTTCTATCCGTTAGATTTGAATTCATC